TGAGCCACTATGCCCGGCCATGTTTGCATTTTTATTAGAGATAGTTTTACCATATTGGTCAAGCTGGTCTCAAACTCCTGACCTCAGGTGATGTGGTCCACCCACGTTGGTTGGCCTCCCAAAGTGCTGGGATTACAGGTGTGAGCCACAGCGCCCGGCCAAAGCCTGCCCTCTTAACCACTAACCTTTTGGCCTAGTTCAGTCAAATTCTGTTTGATTATTGCACATTTGGGATAATATTAACTATCTGTATCATCAGATTGCTGAAAAATTAACTCATCATAGATTTTCAATATACTCCATTTTATTCAATGGCCCTGTATTAATCTTCTGTAATAAATTTCTACAAACCAGGTGGCTTAACACAACAGAAGTTTATTTTCTCATACATCTGGAGGCCAGAAGTCAAAATCAAGGTATGATAGGGCCCTGCTCCCTCCAAAAGTTTAAGGGGAGGATTATTCCTTGACTCGTTCAACTTCTGGTGGTCTCTGTCATTTCTTGGCTTGTGGAAACATCACTCTCACTACCTCTGCCTCTGTCTTCATATGGTATTTCCTCTGTGTCTCTTGGTGTCTTTTTGTTTTTGTTTTTGTTTTTTTTGAGACGGAGTCTCACTCTCTAGCCCAGGCTGGAGTGCAGTGATGTGATCTTGGCTCACTGCAACCTCCGCCTCCCAGATTCAAGTGATTCTCCTGCCTCAGCCTTCCAAGTAGCTGGGACTACAGGTGCCCGCCACCACGCTTAGCTAATTTTTGTATTTTTAGTAGAGACAGGGTTTCACTGTCTTGCCCAGGCTGGTCTCGAACTCCTGACCTCAAGTGATCCGCCCACCTCTCCCTCCCAAAGTTCTGGGATTATGGACGTGAGCCACCACACCTGGCCTTTTTCTAAGGACGCCAATCACTGGATTTGGGCCCACTCTAATCTAGTATGACTTCATCTTAATTTAACTAATTGTATCTACAGAGACCATTTCCAAATAAGGTCACATTCACAGATTCCGGAGGTGGACAAGAAGTTTGGAGGGACACTATTCAACTCAGTATGGACCTAGGAACAAGGTCCACCCTCTGGGCTGTGTTGAGTGGCAGCCACTAGTTTACCGTCCGCCTACGAGATGAGCTCCACGTTTATCCCTGTGCTCAGTCGGGGCCCAGCAAAGAATCGGAAGGGATCTGGCCAATATCTGTGGAACTGAACTGTTTCTGAAAAGCTCTGAAGTATGTTTTGGAAAATCAAATTTCATTTTAACCCAGACATCAATCTTTTTGTAAGGCAAGGAAATGACATGAATATTTAAAGATGAATTTGCATGTTTATATATTGTAATTCCTTAAAGTTGAAGCATGCCTTTATTTTTTCATCTGTGAAGTCTTTTTTAATTTTAGCAAAGAAAATGACCAAGGGTCTGGCACAAATGAACGCTGAGTAAATATTTCTTTTTTTTCTTTTTCTTTTTTTGTTCTCTGAAGTGAATGAATTGAACCAAAGAGTAAATACCTCTTGAATGAATAAAACTGGATTCTAAAAATCATTTAATTAAATGTACCTCCACATTTTCTACTTCTCTCATTTTATAGCCACACTGTATTTCTGTGGCTTTATTTGTTTGTTTGTTTGTTTTGTTTGTTTGGTTTTTTGAGACAGAGTCTCGCTCTGCTGCCCAGGCTGGAGTGCAGTGGTGCAATCTTGGCTCACTGCAACCTCCACTTCCTGAGTTCAAGCAATTCTCCTGCCTCAGCCCCAAGTAGCTGGGATTACAGGCACATGACACCACACCCAGCTAATTTTTGTATTTTTAGTAAAGACAGAGTTTCCACATATTGGCCAGGCTGGTCTTGAACTCCTGACCTCAAGTGATCCACCCACCTCGACCTCCCAAAGTGCTAGGATTACAGGCATGGGCCCATGCCCAGCTTCTATTTCTGCTTTAAGTAGAGAAGCAGAGCTTATGGAGGAGGAGCGCAAGGGTGCAAAAGGGACCTAGATAGCACTGAGAACTGTCATTGTTGTTTGGTTGAGGAAACGAGCCCAGACAGTGGACAGACTTGAGCAAGGAGCTAAATGAGGTGGTGTCCAGTGCCACAAACCTAGGTTTCCTAACTTCCAGTTCTGAGCACTGTACGTCAGTGCCTCTCACCTGTCCCTGCAGGTTCACCTTTTGGTTATGTGGATAAACCAAAATAAATGAAGATCGCAATGTCCCATTTTATCTTCCCCAAGACAAGCTCTGAAACATCAAAGACCACCATGGAAACTGATTACTAGAAAAAGTGTGTGGATGGGTTTGGTTTTAAGGTGACTGTGTTCAGGCTTACTGTTTTGGACAATATTGTGACAAAATCTGGCAGAAGAAGAAACAGAAGATAAAGAAAATAGCTGTGGGCTGGGTGCAGTGGCTCATGCCTATATTCCCAGCACTTTGGGAGGCCAACGCTGGCAGAACACTTGAGGTCAGGAGTTCGAGACCAGCCTGGCCAACATGGTGAAACCCCGTTTCTATTTAAAAAATAAAAATTAGCTGGGCGTGGTGGCATGCGCCTGTAATCCCAGCTACTTGGGAGCCTGAGGAAGGAGAATCGCTTGAACCTGTGAGGTAGAGGTTGCACTGAGTCAAGATCGCATCGCAGCACTCCAGCCTGGGCAACAAAGCAAGACTCCATCTCAAAAAAAAAAAAAAAAAAAGAAAAAGAAAATAGCTGCGATTCAGCAATAGTCATTGTCTCTCCTTATCACTGACAGATGAGGAAGTGCTGGGTTCTGTCAGCATAGGCTCTGACTTCTCATGAGGTGCAAGAAAGAAGCAGCATGAACAAAGGCATAAATTTCACCCCCGGAAACCCGGATTCTAGTCCCACCTCTGACCCAAACTAGCTGCATGACTTTGGGCAACCCCAGCCCTCTCTGGGCTTCAGTTCCCTTCTGTGTACAATGGAAGGGTAGGGAAGAGGACGGTGCTTAGGGTCTCCTAAGTCCCTTCCAACTCTGACATGCTGCCATCCTCTCACCTGCATGGAAACGGAGTGTGCCACATGGGGTCATGAGACTTCTGACTTCTTTTTTTTTTTTTTTTTTTTGAGACGGAGTTTCACTCTTGTTACCCAGGCTGGAGTGCAATGGCGCGATCTCGGCTCACCGCAACCTCCGCCTCTTGGGTTCAGGCAATTCTCCTGCCTCAGCCTCCTGAGTAGCTGGGATTACAGGCACGTGCCACCATGCCCAGGTAATTTTTTTTTTGTATTTTTAGTAGAGACGGGGTTTCACTATGTTGACCAGGATGGTCTCGATCTCTTGACCTCGTGATCCACCCGCCTCGGCCTCCCGAAGTGCTGGGATTACAGGCTTGAGCCACCGCGCCCGACCTTTTTTTTTTTTTTTTTTTTTTTTTGAGATGGAGTCTGGCTCTGTCGCCCAGGCTGGAGTGCAGTGGCTCTAACGCAGCTCACTGCAACCTCCACCTCCGGGATTCAAGCAGTTCTCCTTCCTCAGCCTCCCGAGTAGCTGGGATTACAGGCGTGCAACATCATGCCCAGCTAGGCTCTCCACTTTCTGCCCCTGGTTTTCTAAAAATTGTCCTCCGTGGAGACCTGTGCATGGGTCTTCTTTTCCCAGGTAGAAGCTAAGCTATTTGAAATGCCTCAGAATTCCCAAAGAAAGCTCAGTAAGTACCTGACAGATGAAACGGTCACACTTGCTCCCCCTCTTTCAGTACCCTTTTCTCCCTCCTCTCCCCTCATGTTTCCTCTCATCATCCCTCTACCTTCTTATTTCTGTCAGAGCTGTTAGATATCCTTCCAGTCTGATGTCCCTGCCTCCAGCCTTGTGCTACGGGACAACTCAAAAGCCCCCCGTGGCTCCTAAGTGATCACTAAATGAAACTCCTGATCTGACTTCAGCCTAACCTCGCAGGATTGTTACAGCAAAATGGACTACGGAGGCGTGATCACTGTTCAGTTCACTGCAGCCTACACTTCCTGGGCTCAAGCAATCCAGAGTCTCCCACCTCAGCCCCCCGAATAGCTGGGACTCCAGGCTTGCATCACCACACCAAGCTCATTTTGTTTATTTATTTAAACGGAGTTTTGCTCTTATTGCCCAGGCTGGAGTGCAATGGCACGATCTTGGCTTACCAGAACCTCAGCCTCGCGGGTTCAAGCCATTCTCCTGCCTCAGCCTCCGGAGTAGCTGGGGTTACAGGCATGCGCCACTACGTCCGGGTAATTTATTTTATTTTTTTTATTTTTATTTATTTATTTATTTATTTATTTAATTATGTATTTTGAGACGGAGTTTCGCTCTTGTTACCCAGGCTGGAGTGCAATGGCGCAATCTCGGCTCACCGCAACCTCAGCCTCCTGGGTTCAGGCAATTCTCCTGCCTCAGCCTCCTGAGTAGCTGGGATTACAGGCACGTGCCACCATGCCCAGCTAATTTTTTGTATTTTTTCAGTAGAGACGGGGTTTCACCATGTTGACCAGGATGGTCTCGATCTCTCGACCTTGTGATCCACCCGCCTCGGCCTCCCAAAGTGCTGTATTTTTATTTTTTAGTAGAGACAGGGTTTCTCCATGTTGGTCAGACTGGTCTCGAACTCCTGACCTCAGGTGATCCGCCCTCCTCGGCCTCCCAAAGAGCTGGGATTACAGATGTGAGTCACTGCGCCCAGCCTGTTTATTTTTCGTAGTGACAGGCTAGTCTTGATGGTTCAGAGCGATCTTCCCGCCTCGACTTCCCAAAGTGTTAAGATTACAGGCGTGAGCCACTGCGCCCGGTTCAATGGACTTCTTAAATGTGAGTTATCCGCACACACTGGGCCTTCCTCACCTGCCCAATTTAACCTCGCAGTTAAAAAGTCCCTTTTCAAGGTTTTATTCGTCCTTCAGTGAATTGCTGTCAACGCCTCCCTGCGTTTTTCCCACATTGAGCACGAGAGGGCGCTCCTCCAACCCGAAGAGGAAGCGACTCGGGCCAAACAGTCCGGGTTGTCCCGCCCCTTTTTCCTTCCGGGCCAATCGTTAGCCAGAGTGGGCGGAGCGCGCGCCGGGTAGCTGCGGGTTAGGAGTGGGTCGCGTCGCCGCCAGGCAGCGATGCGGGCTTCGGGGGTGAGGGCGCGGCCGCCGTGTCCTGCGCTGCTGCTGCTGCTGCTCTTCCTCCTCCTCCTCGGAGCCGCCGAGTCGGTGCGTCGGGCCCGGCCTCCGCGCCGCTACACCCCGGACTGGCCGAGCCTGGACTCTCGGCCGCTGCCGGCCTGGTTCGACGAGGCCAAGTTCGGGGTGTTCGTGCACTGGGGCGTGTTCTCGGTGCCCGCCTGGGGCAGCGAGTGGTTCTGGTGGAACTGGCGGGGCGTGGGGCGGCCGGAGTATCAGCGCTTCATGCGCGACAACTACCCGCCCGGCTTCAGCTACGCCGACTTCGGACCGCAGTTCACCGCGCGCTTCTTCCACCCTGAGGAGTGGGCCGACCTCTTCCAGGCCGCCGGCGCCAAGTGAGTGTGGGCGCGGGGGGCGACACCCCTTCCCCGCTGGGGCGGCAGACGGGAGGTAGGGCCGGTCGCCTCCACGACCCCAGGGCCCGCGTGTGACCTCCTGCGGCTGCAGGAATGTGCGTGGCACACCCGATGACGAGGAGGAGGTGCTCTCGCTGGGGACTGAAAAATGAAGGTTGAGGGGGATGGCGAGCTGGGAGGCCCTCGGCATCTGCACCTGTGCACGGAGAGGGCTGGGCTTGGGCCATACCTGATGCTCCTTCCAGATTGATAGCACCATCAGGACTCCAGGGTTTCAAATCAGCGGTGTGGAGCCTGGTCCTAGTTCAACTGTAAACCTGGACAAGTCACTGCAGCCTCCCTGCAGCATCTTGCATAGTTACAGAAAGGGATTGTATCCGTTGCCTTCAGCCCTAATGTCTCTAAGAGGGAAAGGGAGGGGTCTGCAAACTGGCCAGAGGGGGTTGGTCCTCTGCCAATTTTTTAAGGCCTAAGAGGTGAGAATGTTTTTTTTTTAATTAAAAAAAATTTTTTTTTAAATATATGGAACGCTTCACGAATTTGCGTGTCATCCTTGTGCAGGGCCATGCTAATAATCTTCTCTGTATCACTCCGATTTTAGTATGTGTGCTGCTGAAGCGAGCACGAGAATGGTTTCTACATTTTTAAAGGATTGTAAATTTTTTTTTATTTTTTTAGATGGAGTCACTCTATCACCCAGGCTGGAGTGCAGTGGCGTCATTTCGGCTCACTGGAACCTCCTCCTTCTCCTGGGTTCAAGCGTTTCTCCTGCCTCAGCCTCCCAAGTAGCTGGGACTACAGGCGCCCACCACCACACCCTGTATTTTTAGTAGAGACGGGGTTTCACCATGTTGGCCAGGATGATCTCCATCTCCTGACCTCATTATCTGCCGGCCTCAGCCTTCCAAAGGGCTAGGATTACAGACATGAGCCACCGCGCCTGGCCGATTGTAAAGTTTTTTAAAAAAGAATATGCTACAGAGAGGAATGTGGTCCACAAAGTAAAATAAAATACTATGTGGCCCTTCTAGTTCTGGAGTTCCCTACTCTGGTGGGTGATTAAATCATAATGTGTAGGCATTACCAATTTTTCTGCCATAAAAGAAATTAAATGTTGAGTGATTTGCTTATTATTTCAACACTTCCCTTTTCTCCCAGTTACTAGGTCTTTTGTCACCTCTATAATAAATGAGAGGCAATTTACATAGGCTCGATAAACGAAACAGCTTAGTTTTCTGTTTTTGTTGCTTTGAGACAGTTTTGCTCTGTAGCTCAGGCTGGAGTACAGTAGCAGGATCTCACCTCACTGCAACATCCACCTGCCAGGCTCAAGTGATTCTCATGCCCCAGCCTCTCAAGTACCTGGGACTACAGGCATGCACCATTATGCCTGGCTAATTTATATTTTTTTTAGTAGAGATGGGTTTTCACCATGTTGGCTGGGTTGGTCTTGAACCTCTGACCTCAGGTAATCTGCCTGCCTGCCTTGGCCTCCCAAAGTGCTAGGATTACAGGTGTGAGCCACCGTGCCTGGCTAGCAAACAATTTAGTTTTCTGTCATCTGCCATTTCCAGTAGAGACAGTAGAGATCTTTCTCCTTCAAGGCAAAGGGTGGAAGAAAGTTAATCATTTATACCAGAAGTGTTGAAGAATCAGACAGCTCAGGTGCACTTTTTTTCCCTTACCTAATCCTTCCTTCCCTCTGGGCCTCCTCCTTCACTGGGGACTGAGGACTGGGACTTCCTCAAATCTGCTGTCATTCTTGGAGCAATGCCAAGGGGAATTGTGACTGCAGCAGCTTCCTGGATATCACTAATAATCACTGGTACAAGTACATTTGTTGTGGTCAAGTTCTTTCAGCCATTTAAAAAGCCTCAGACATGCTGGGCAAGTTCATGCAAGTTCACTGCCCACTTCTTTTCTCATGTGGTTTTACTGTCCACAGGTACGTAGTTTTGACGACAAAGCATCATGAAGGCTTCACAAACTGGCCTAGTCCTGTGTCTTGGAACTGGAACTCCAAGGACGTGGGGCCTCATCGGGATTTGGTTGGTGAATTGGGAACAGCTCTGCGGAAGAGGTGGGTGTCTAGGGATGGTTACTCTGTCATTTCTGTGGATCTGGCTGTCCAAAGTTCTGTCCCTTCTCTACTCTTGTATGTTTTCTAGGTTTGTATTTAGCAAGTAGCCTGAAGGGCTTCTGGCCCTTGAATTAGCAGTGTTTGATGCTTCACAGTTTTCACGTGGCCAAAGGGGACACCATTAGAGAAGTTAATGGCCGTGTCTGTTTAGATGGATACACAAAATAGACTACCATGCTCCTTGATGTCCATTTTGAGGAGTAGTGTCTGTTCGTATAAATCATAAAATTTGATTGGAACACAGTCATGCTTATTCATTTATGCATTGTCTATGACTGTTTTTGAGCTACAGTTTGAGAGCTGAAATGGAGACCAAATGGCCTGCAAAATCTAAAATACTCTCTGGACCTTTAAGAGTTTGCTGACTTGGCTGAGCATGGTGGCTCTCACCTGTAATCCCAGCACTTTGGGAGGCCGAGGCAGGTGGATCATGAGATCAGGAGATCGAGTTCATCTGGCTAACATGGTGAAACCCCATCTCTATTAAAAATACAAAAAATTAGCCAGGTATGGTGGCACACACCTGTAGTCCCAGCTACTGCAGAGGCTGAGGCAGGAGAATCACTTGAACCTGGAGGCAGAGTTTGCAGTAAGCTGAGTTCGAACCACTGCACTCCAGCCTGGGCAACAGAGCAAGACTCCATCTGAAAAAAAAAAAAAAAAGATTTGCTGACTCCTGTCACCTGCTCATTTTGTTTCCTAGCACTGTGCTTTGCTTATAGTCCTGCTATAAAACTCTGAGATGTTGATTAGATACGGACTTTAGGAGTCATGATTTGTACCTTTATATCTATCGATTCCCTGGGTTATATGATGAAATACTTGTTTTTTATCTGTGCCATTGCTTCTTGCATTGTAAGGTTTTTGTAACACTCACCATTCTTAATCCAAAATAAGCTTTTCTTTATGTGAAAATAGGTCATCAACCACATTTCATTTTGGGTGTATTAAAAACTATTATGTAAATCTTAGGTAAATAAAACAGTAAACCTACATTCATTTCAACTGTGTGGAAAATATTACTAATGATTGTTTCTGAGTAAGAGTACTTTGGATATTTTATTTTCTATATTCCAATTTCTTTAAATATAAAATTTTATGATTAACAGGGAAGATTTTTTGTTGTTGTTGTTTTTGTTTTTGTTTTTTTTGAGACGGAGTTCCACTCTTGTTACCCAGGCTGGAGTGCAATGGCGCGATCTCGGCTCACCGCAACCTCCGCCTCCTGGGTTCAGGCAATTCTCCTGCCTCAGCCTCCTGAGTAGCTGGGATTACAGGCACATGCCACCATGCCCAGCTAATTTTTTGTATTTTTAGTAGAGATGGGGTTTCACCATGTTGACCAGGATGGTCTCAATGTCTTGACCTCGTGATCCACCTGCCTAAGCCTCCCAAAGTGCTGGGATTACAGGCTTGAGCCACCGCGCCCGGCCAGGGAAGATTTTTTTTAAAACAGGACTGTATGATTTTTTGTTTTGTTTTAAGACAGAGTCTTATTCTGTCACCTAGGCTAGAGTGCAGTGGCACAGTCTCAGCTCACTGCAATCTCTACCTCCTGGGCTCAAGCCATCTTCCCACTTAGTCTCCCAAGTAGCTGGGACTACAGGCTCACATCACCACACTCAGCTAGTTTTTAAATTTTTTGTGGAGATGAGGTCTCGCTGTGTTGCCGAGACTGGTCTCAAACTCATGGACTCAAGGGATCCTCCCACCTGAGGCTTCCAAAGTGGTGGGATAACAGGAGTGAGCCACTGCACCCAGCAGGACCATAAGCTGTTGAGATAATTGACTTAAAAGGTAAAAGATGGGGCCGGGCGCGGTGGCTCAAGCCTGTAATCCCAGCACTTTGGGAGGCCGAGGCGGGTGGATCACGAGGTCAAGAGATCGAGACCATCCTGGTCAACATGGTGAAACCCCGTCTCTACTAAAAATACAAAAAACTAGCTGGGCGTGTTGGCGCGTGCCTGTAATCCCCGCTACTTAGGAGGCTGAGACAGGAGAATTGCCTGAGCCCAGGAGGCGGAGGTTGCGGTGAGCCGAGATCGCGCCATTGCACTCCAGCCTGGGTAACAAGAGCGAAACTCCGTCTCAAAAAAAAAAAAAAAAAAAAAAAAAAAAAAAGGTAAAAGATGGTTTAAAGAACACTGGTTTAAATAACATTTTGGTATTAAGATATTTATGTATAAAAGGTAGTTATGTATATAATCAAAAGCATAGTAAACCCCATCATTCTGCTTAAGTGAATGGTGAATAATTTAAGGAAATGGTTTTGAATCCCATCCCTCTCTACATGCTTTTATGGGTGAGTTTCACTGAGATGAAAAAATGCTAAAACTGATTCTCCTTAAAATATTTGTTCTATGCCTAATGACAGTTGCAATTCTGTTTTTCTATTTAAGGAACATGCGCTATGGACTGTACCACTCCCTGTTAGAGTGGTTCCATCCACTCTATCTACTTGATAAGAAAAATGGCTTCAAAACACAGCATTTTGTTAGTGCAAAAACAATGCCAGAGCTGTATGACCTTGTCAACAGGTAAGACACAGAAATATTTTGACCTTATGACTTCTTTTTTGTTTTGTTTTGTTTTGTTTTGAGACGGAGTTTCTCTCTTGTTACCCAGGCTGGAGTGCAATGGCGCGATCTCGGCTCACCGCAACCTCCACCTCCTGGGTTCAAGCAATTCTCCTGCCTCAGCCTCCCGAGTAGCTGGGACTACAGGCACACGCCACCACGCCCAGCTAACTTTTTGTATTTTTAGTAGAGACGGGGTTTCACCTTGTTGACCAGGATGGTCTCGATCTCTTGACCTCGTGATCCACCCGCCTCGGCCTCCCAAAGTGCTGGGATTACAGGCTTGAGCCACCGCGCCCGGCCTGACCTTATGACTTCTATCAGTGAAATCAGATCTTTCTATATAGGGTGCTGTTAGTGGAAGAGGGACAGGTATGAAAAAAAAATCTAAAACACATCAAAATAATAAAAAGTGGTGTTTTTTTGTTTATTTATTTATTTATTTATTTTTTGAGACGGAGTTTTGCTCTTGTTACCCAGGCTGGAGTGCAATGGCGTGATCTCGGCTCACCGCAACCTCCGCCTCCTGGGTTCAGGCAATTCTCCTGCCTCAGCCTCCCGAGTAGCTGGGATTACAGGCACGCGCCACCATGCCCAGATAATTTTTTGTATTTTTTTTTTTTTTTTTTTGAGACGGAGTTTCACTCTTGTTACCCAGGCTGGAGTGCAATGGCGCGATCTCGGCTCACCGCAACCTCCGCCTCCTGGGTTCAGGCAATTCTCCTGCCTAAGCCTCCTGAGTAGCTGGGATTACAGGCAGGCGCCACTATGCCCAGCTAATTTTTTGTATTTTTAGTAGAGACGGGGTTTCACCATGTTGACCAGGACGGTCTCGATCTCTTGACCTCGTGATCCACCCGCCTCGGCCTCCCAAAGTGCTGGGATTACAGGCTTGAGCCACCACGCCCAGTCTTCATTTATTTATTTTATCTTTATTTTTTTAAGATGGGGTTTCACCATGATAGCCAGGCTGGTCTTGAACTTCTGACCTCAGGTGATCCACCCACCTCAGCCTCCCAAAGTGCTAGGATTACAGGCATCAGCCACCGTGCCCAGCAAAAGTGGTGGTTTTATTAAGACAAAATATGTTCTTTCCTCCTGCATTTCATAACTTCTGTCATGTGGTCATATTGCCTTATACTTTGAAACAATCACACAAAACCCAGGATGGTAGAAAGTCAAAATTTTAGTTCCCTTCTTGCATGCCGTTTCCCTATGTCAGGACCCTGGAGAGGGGGGTGTTTGGCATAAGGCAGATTTGTGTTTGAATTCTGGCTTCTGTTACTTACAAGCCTTAAACAGAACACTCTCCTGAGCTTGATTCTCACTCTGTTAAATGAGGATGATAACGCCTTCTTTGGCCGGATTCAGTGGCTCACCCCTGTAATCCTAGCGGAGGTAGGTGGATCACCTGAGGTCAGGAGTTCGAGACCAGCCTGGCCAACATGGTGAAACCCCATCTCTACTAAAAATACAAAAATTAGCCGGGCATGGTGGTGCATGCCTGTAATCTCAACTGCTTGAGAAGCTGAGGAAGGAGAATTGTTTGAACCCGGGAGGTGGAGGTTGCAGTGAGCCGAGATCACGCCACTGCACTCCAGCCTGTGTGATGGAAGCAAGACTCCATCTCAAATAATAATAATAGTAATAATAATGCCTTCTTTGTAGGGTTTAGAATAGTAAGTGAAATGAATCTGTCATGGTGCCTGGTACAAAGTAAGGGTATTATTATTATTACCATTATTTGTTAAATGATCACTTTCACTTAGGGATTTGTCACTAGTCTTCACCATGTTTTATTCCTAGTTTGCCTTTCTTGAGCCTGGGGGCTCATAGAGGATAGTAGACCCTTAAAAATTCAGAGGCAGCTGTCTGGACTCTCACTTTAGAGCAAAGGAAAATCACCTTTAGCCAGGCACAGTGGTTCATGCCTATAATCCCAGTATTTTGGGAGGCTAAGGTGGATCACTTTAGGTCAGGAGTTCGAGACCAGCGTGGCCAACATGGTGAAACCTTGTCTCTACTAAGAATGTAAAAATTAGCCAGGCATGGTGGTGCATGCCTGTAGTCCCAGCTACTTGGGAGGCTGAGGCAGGTGAATCGCTTGAACCCAGGAGGTGGTTGCAGTGAGCCAAGATCGTGCTACTGCACTCCAGCCTGGGCTACACAGCAAAACTCTGTCTCCAAAAAAAAAAAAAGAAAAAGAAAAAGAAGGCCAGGCGCGGTGGCTTATGCCTGTAATCCCAGCACTTTGGGAGGCTGAGGTGGGTGGATCACAAGGTCAAGAGATCGAGACCATCCTGGTCAACATGGTGAAACCCCATCTCTACTAAAAATATAAAAATTAGCCAGGCATGGTGGTGCACACCTGTAATACCAGCTACTCGAGAGGCTGAGGCAGGAGAATTGCTTGAACCCAGGAGGCGGAGGTTGTGGTGAGCCGCGATCAAGCCATTGCACTCCAGCCTGGGTAACAAGAGCAAAACTCCATCTCAAAAAAAAAAAAAAAAAAGAAAAGAGAAAGAAAAGCAAAAAATTACCTTGTATCCAGATTCTATCTAGATGACTTCTCTTAAGAAAATAGTAACGGTTGACTGGATGTGGTGCCTTACGCCTGTAATCCCAGCATTTTGGGAGGCCGAGGTGGGTGGATTATGAGATCAGGAGTTCAAGACCAGCCTGGGTAACATGGTGAAAAGCTGTCTCTGCTAAAAATGCAAAAATTAGCTGGGCATGGTGGCATGAGCCTGTAATCCCAGCTACTCGGGAGGCTGAGGCAGGAGAATCGCTTGAACCCGGGAGAGGGAGGTTGCGGTGAGCCAAGATTGCGCTACTGCATTCCAGGCTGGGTAACAGAGCAAGACTCCATCTCAAAAAAAAAAAAAAAAGGAAAGAAAGAAAATAGTAACAGTTGTAAGAGACCGTCAGAGGCATACACAGCTTCAGACATTACTAAATCTGAAATCCCCATTTTTTTCTTACTTGGCTTTGTTGCCTTGAACCAACTACTTAATCTTTCAAGATCTTGATTTTTCTATCTCTAAAGTGGGGATAGAGTCATGAGAACTAAAGAGGTAATGAGTTTAAATTGCCTAGTACAATTTCTTATACACAGTAAATCACAGACCCTCTGGGTGATATCTTGCCACTTAGTGATCCTCTTAGAGTTTACTTGCCTGATTATGGTATACAGTGGACAGTTTGGCATCAGGCAGATTTGTATTTGAGTTCCAGTTCCTGTTACTTACAAGCCTTGTCACCTAAAACAAATTGCCCTGTTGAGCATCAAATTCTTGCTGCTCAAATGAGAATAATAATGCTTACCATATAGGTATATACATACGTATTTATATACATGCACACAACATACATGCCTTATAAAGCTCAGAGTAATAATACATTAAAGGTGCAAATGGGGCTCCAGTGGATTCTATGAAACCTCTATAGTAGAGACTTTGGTCATTATCCACAAAAAGGCATTTTGGGAATAGTTCAAACTCTTGAAACATCTTCAAAGCAAATCTTAGTCTTACAGTCCTGAAGCACCATTTTGTTTTCTTTGCTTCCTTGAAACACCGTTCTTAACTGGAATTGGTTACTGAAAGGAAGCCACATTGCTTGTATGCTGATTACACCTCCATTTTCTAAAAAGGCATAAAGAAAAAGATTAGGCCAGGCACAGTGGCTCATACCTGAAATCCCAGCACTTTGAGAAGCCAAGGCAGGTGGATCACTTGAGGCCAGGAGTTCAAGACCAGCCTGGCCAAGATGGCAAAACACAGTCTCTACTGAAAATACAAAACTTACCCAGGCGTGGTGGTGCGCACCTGTAATCCCAGCTACTTGGGTGGCTGAAGCATGAGAATCTCTTGAACCCAGCAGGTGAAGGTTACAGTGAGCTGAGATCATAATACTGCAGTCCAGTCTGGGGGACAAAGCAAGACACTGTCTCAAGAAAAAAAAGGAAGAAAGGAAAAGATCAGGAGGAAATATACCAAAATGCTGTGTTTGTTTTATTTTATTTTAGAAAAAGATTAGGAGGAAATATACCAAAATGCTGTGTTTGTTTTATTTTATTTTATTTTTTTCTTTGATCTCCGTACTTTAGGATGTGTTTGTTTTAAACAGTGGTTTTATTAGCAAACTGATCTTTTGTCATCTCTTCAGCTTTCCACATCCTCTACACTGTGATAATTTTTATGGCACATATTTTCAAAATGGAGGAAAATTAATTTTGAAATATTTGTTGCAAAAATCAGTCCACTAGTCAGACTGCAGTGGTGTGCACCTGTAGTCTCAACTACTCAGGAGGCTGAGGCAGGAGGATCACTTGAGCCCAGGAACTGGAGTCTCTAGTGCACTGTGATTGCACCTGTTTATTGATAACCACTGCACTCAAGCCTGGGTAACATAGCAAGACCCCATCTCTTAAAAAAAAAAAAAAAAATTGGTCCATAAGACTTTACTGTGAATACATTCAGATAATAAGCTCTGTCCTGATCACATGTCTTCTAGCTATAAGCCTGATCTGATCTGGTCTGATGGGGAGTGGGAAGCTCCTGATGCTTACTGGAACTCCACAAATTTTCTTTCCTGGCTCTACAATGATAGCCCTGTCAAGGTATGTGATTGTATGACTTCTTACTTATCTCTTATGAAGAAAGGAAGTACAAGGAGTCAAACTCTGGAGTAGACAGCATCAGCAATAATAAACAGTAATATCAACATGGGGACAGTAGGGACTGGAGCACTTAGTGGATGTTAAAGATTTCTCCTTTAGTCTTCCCTGGTTCCCTTAGAGTATAAGCTTTCTTCTCCTTTAGTTCTCCAGCACCAGGCTAGAGTGCAATGGCGTAATCTCGGCTCACTGCAACCTCTGCCTCCCAGGTTCAAATGATTCCACCTCAGCCTCCCAATAGCTGAGATTACAGGTGCCCACCACCACGCCCAGCTAATTTTTGTATTTTTAGTAGAGACAGGGTTTCGCCATGTTAGTCAGTCTGGTCTCGATCCCCTGACCTCAGGTGATCTGCCCACCTTGGCCTCCCAAAGTGGTAGGATTATAGGCATGAGCCACCATGCCGGGAAATCTCCTTTAGTTCTTAACTTTGACAATATAGGTTTAAACAGTGGTAAATTTACCTAGTAGAATAAAAGTAGTAATTACAATTCCCAGACTACTACAGAGAAAATAAACTCTATTAAGCAAACAAATGTTATAAATGAGAAAAACACCCAAAAGATATTAAAACATATAATAAAAGATAAAGAAAACATATAAAAGACAAACAGGCCAAGCACAGTAACTCATGCCTATAATCCCAGCACTTTGGGAGGCCAAGACAAGCAGATTACTTGAGCCCAGGAGTTCAAGACCAACCTGGGCAACGTAGTGAGACCTCATCTCTACAAAACATGAACAAAATTAGCTGAGTGTAGAGGCATGGACCTGTAGTCCCAGCTACTAAGGAGGCTGACGTGGGAGGATCGCTTGAGCCCAGGGGGTTGAAGCTGCAATAAACCTAGCTCATGTCACTGTACTCCAGCCTTGGTGACAGAGCAAGACCCTGTCTTCAAAAAAAATAAAATGTATAAGATACACAAAACATACAAAATTAAATGGTAGGAATAAAATGCAAATGTCTACAATCCCACCTATTCTATATTGATTTTATAGTTTACCTCTCAAGGGGCAAACTCACTTCCCTTATATCTAAATTCTAGGGGGAACATTGCAACGTTGCCCACCCAAGCCCCCTCCCTATCATCAGCACTATTAGGCAGTGCATAATGGCTGCCCATTTACAGTTTGTGGTTTTTTTTTTTTTTTTTTTTTTTTTTTTTTTTTTTTTTGAGACGGAGTTTCGCTCTCGTTACCCAGGCTGGAGTGCAATGGCGCGATCTCGGCTCACCGCAACCTCCGCCTCCTGGGCTCAGGCAGTTCTCCTGCCTCAGCCTCCTAAGTAGCTGGGATTACAGGCACGCACCACCATGCCCAGCTAACTTTTTGTATTTTTAGTAGAGACGGGGTTTCACCTTGTTGACCAGGATGGTCTCGATCTCTCAACCTCGTGATCCACCTGCCTCGGCCTCCCAAAGTGCTGGGATTACAGGCTTGAGCCACCGCGCCCGGCCTACAGTTTGTGTTTTAGTGTACTTGCAAAGTAGCAGAAACCCTAATCTTCACTATAGAAAATTTCAAAATTGCACATGTTCTGGATTTGTTGTGGATTTAAAAGAAAAATCTTAAGTGTAAAACCAGTTTGTACTGATGAACCTTGGTAGTTCATAAACCTCTAAGGGTCCCTATTACTAAACTTAGAAAATGGGAAGAAAGAAAAAAGAGATTCTATATGATGCATAGAGACAGATTAAGAGTGGTTTTCTGGAACTTGATGAATGTTTAGGACCTCACAGGTGTGCAGTTCATCCCTGGGTAATGAACTCTGATGTGATCTCATATCATAATTGTCCACATATCTGTCTCTGAAAGTCTCTGCTAAATCATTGAGGGCAAGAACTCTGTTTTATTTACCTTAGAAACCCAGTGTCTACCACAGTGTGAGCCTCATGGTAGTTGCTGAATAAATAAGATAAGTAGCTGGGTGTTGAACCAAGAACTCAGATTGTTAATACTCCATTTTTCTCTGAAATGGCATCTACATACCTGTTCAGGGTGTATACCTATGGAGCCAGGTCGCTTGCTGTGTGAGGTTACAGTCAAGTGTTTGCAATGAAGGAACATTACAGAAGGAAAAACAACTAGCCAAAGATGCAGGATTAGAAAAGGGAAGAAAATGATGTCAACCCGAGTCTTTTTGGCCTGTCTCCTTTTTTTTTTTGAGACAGAGTCTTTCTCTGTTGCCAGGCACCAGGCTAGAGTGCAGTGGTGCGATCTCAGCTGACTGCAACCTCCACCTCCCCGGGGGTTCCAGCAATTCTCCTGCCTCAGCCTCCCGAGTAGCTGGGAGTACAGGCATGCGTCACCATACCCGGCTAAGTTTTTTGTGTTTTTGGTAGAGACAGGACTTTCTCCATGTTGGTCAAGCTGGTCTTGAACTCCTGACCTCAGGTGATCCTCCCGCCTCAGCCTCCCAAAGTGCTGAGATTACAGGTGTGAGCCACCGCGCCCAGCTGTTTATTTTTATAGACTTAAAAGGTAAAGTTAACTGCCTAAGATCCTTGACTGCTAGGTGCTGGAGCCTGCTATGAACCTCAAAGCCCTTGATAATCTTGTAATCAGGTAATAAACTCTGATATGATGTCATATTGTAATTGTCCACATATCTGTCTCCTCCTCTGCTACTCTGTGCTGGATTGTTGAGGGCAAAACCTCTGTTTTTTGTTTTTCATTTATTTATTTATTTATTTATTTATTTATTTTTGAGACAATATGTTGCTCTGTCACCCACGCTGGAGTTCAATGGCGTGATCTCGGCTCACTGCAGTCTCCACCTCCCGGGTTTAAGCAGTTCTCCTGTCTCAACCTCCAGAGTAGATTACAGCCACCATACTCAGCTTATTTTTGTATTTTTAGTAGAGCTAGGGTTTCACTATCTTGGCCAGGCTGGTTTTGAACTCCTGACCTTGTGATCCACCTGCCAAAGTGCTGGGATTACAGGCGTGAGCCACCACACCTAGGCTTTTTTTTTTTTTTTTAAGTGAGATTAGCTTAAGACTTCTTTACCTAGGTAAGGTTGAGATTATATAGTTGGAAAACAGCCTGCCATGGGTTCAGATACCTGATTTGTAGATCCAGCTTTTGAAACTGCCTAGGGGGCGTGGCCTCAGGCAGATCCTCTCCTATCCATTTCTCCTCTTATGGAATAAGTGGTTTACCAGATCATCTTTTTTTTTTTTTTTTTTTTTTTTTTTAGACGGAGTTTCGCTCTTGTTACCCAGGCTGGAGTGCAATGGCGCGATCTCGGCTCACTGCAACCTCCGCCTCCTGGGCTCAGGCAATTCTCCTGCCTCAGCCTCCTGAGTAGCTGGGATTACAGGCACACGCCACCATGCCCAGCTAATTTTTGTATTTTTAGTAGAGACGGGGTTTCACCATGTTGACCAGGATGGTCTCGATCTCTTGACCTCGTGATCCACCCGCCTCGGCCTCCCAAAGTGCTGGGATTACAGGCTTGAGCCACCGCGCCCGGCCACCAGATCATCTTTAAAGCAGACTCTTCCAGCCCTAACATGTATCTCTGCAGCAGGGTTTCTCTGACTCAGTACTGTTGACATTTAGGGCTGAATGGCTGAATATTTCTTTGTTGTAGAGGCTGTCCTGTGTATTGTAGGATGTTTAGTAACATCCCTGGTCTCTACCCACTAGATGGTGTACCACCCTAGTTGTGACAATCAAAAATGTCTCTAGACTTTGCCAAATATCCCCTCCAGAGCAAAATTGCCTCCAATTGAGAACTGCTGCTCTAGACTAACTTTCTTGCTTTCAAATAGAGCCTTACTAAAATGCGTTACATAAAGAAGTCAAGCGGTTTTACTCCTCATGGCCAAATATTCTTTCCCTTCTTAGGATGAGGTGGTCGTAAATGACCGATGGGGTCAGAACTGTTCCTGTCACCATGGAGGATACTATAACTGTGAAGATAAATTCAAGCCACAGAGCTTGCCAGATCACAAGTGGGAGATGTGCACCAGCATTGACAAGTTTTCCTGGGGCTATCGTCGTGACATGGCAATGTCTGATGTTACAGAAGAATCTGAAATCATTTCGGTAAGAGCACCTTTTGAGTTTTTTGTTTTTTTAATGTCATGCAGGCAAGAGTGTAGTGGCACGATCATACCTTACTGTAACCTCAAACTCCTGGGCTCAAGTGATCCTCCCACCTCAGCCTCCTGAGTAGCTAGAACTACAGGTGTGTACCACTACATCCAGCTGATTTTTACATTTTTTTTGTAGAGACAAGGTCTTGCTATATTGCCCAGGCTGGTCTCAAACTCCTGGCCTCAAGAGATCTTCCACCCTCAGCCTCCCAAAGTACTGAGTGACAGGTATGAGCCACGGCACCTGGCCTGAGTTCATTATTTTTTAACTGCAGATCTCAAACCAGCTTTTGTTTTTTGAATCACCTTCTAAAACACTATGTGTTTGATTGATTTTAATTTTTTTTCCTTTTTTTAAATTTTACTTGAAGTTCTGGGATACATGTGCAGAATGCGCAGGTTTGTTACGTAGGAATACATGTGCTATGGTGGTTTGCTGCAAACTATCAACCTTTCATCTAAGTTTAAGCCCCGCATGCATTAGGTGTTTGTCCTAATGCTCTCCCTCCCCTTGTCCCCGATCCCCCTGACAGGCCCCAGTGTGTGATGTTCCCCTCCATGTGTCCTTGTGTTCTCAATGTTCAATTCCCACTTATAAGTGAGAACATGTGGTGTTTGGTTTTCTATTCCTGCGTTAGTTTGCTGAGAATGATGGTTTCCAGCCTCATCCATGCCCCTGCAGAGGACATGCACTCATTCTTTTTTATCGCTGCAAAACTAGCTTTTTATGTAAAAGTGATGGAAGCACTCTGGATAGAAGTGCAGGTCAATAGAACCCTTTTAAGGTCATTGAATAGACAAACAGAAACCTGTCCTAAGGAAATAATTAGAATTACACAAGAAAGTTGTGCAGAGAGAGGTCCTTCCCAGGATTATTTTTATTTATTTATTTGAGACTGAGTTTCGCTCTGTCACCCAGACTGGAGTGCAGTGGCACCATCTCGGCTCACTGCAATCTCTGCCTCCCAGGTGATTCAAGTGATTCTCCTGCCTCAGCCTCCTGAATAGGTAGGATTACAGACACATGCCACCATGCCTGGCTAATTTTTGTGTTTTTAGTAGAGACAGGGTTTCTTCATGTTGGCCAGGCTGGTCTTGAACTCCTGGGCTCAAGCGATCCACCCTCCTCGGCTTCCCAGAGTGCTGGGATTACAGGCATGAGCCACTGTGCCCAGGCCCCAGGATTATTTTTAATTGAACATATGTATTGTTTCAATTTCTTATAACTATGAAGGGATAATTAGGTGGATTTGGAGGTTTTCCTTAACCATAAAAATGTTGACAAATTGCCGGGCGCAGTGGCTCCAGCCTGTAATCCCAGCACTTTGGGAGGCCGAGGCGGGTGGATCATGAGGTCAAGAGATCGAGACCATCCTGGTCAACATGGTGAAACCCCATCTCTACTAAAAATACAAAACATTAGCTGGGCATGGTGGCGCGTGCCTGTAATCCCAGCTACGCAGGAGGCTGAGGCAGGAGAATTGCTTGAACCCAGGAGGCGGAGGTTGTGGTGAGCCGAGATCGCGCCATTGCACTCCAGCCTGGGTAACAAGAGCGAAACTCTGTCTCAAAAAAAAAAAATGTTGACAAATGTAATATGGGTTAATGCTTAGAGCATTGAGTGAAAAAATAAGTTGTATATTGGCTGGGTGTTGTGGCTCATACCTGTAAAGCCAGCACTTTGGGAGGCCAAGGTGAGAATATTCCTTGAAGCCAGGAGTTCAAGACCGCCTGGCTAACATAGCAAGACCCCATCTCTAGTTTTTTTCTTTTTTGTGTGTCCTGAGGAAAAAAAAAATTATATATATATATATATACATATATATATATATATTTAAACAAAGTTACGTATTGGCTGGGCATGGCGGTGGCTCATACCTGTTGGGAGGTCAAGGTGAGAGGATTGCTTTAGGGCAGGAATTCAAGACGAGCCTAAACAACACAGTGAGACACTCATCTCTATTTTTAAAAATAAAAATAAGTGGCCGGGTGCAGTGGCTCACACCTGTAATCCCAGCACTTTGGGAAGCCAAGGCAGGAGGTTCACAAGGTCCGGAGTTTGAGACCAGCCTGGCCAACATGGTGAAACCCTGTCTGTAAAAAAAAAAAAAAAAAAATTAGGCAGGTGTGGTTGCACACACTTGTAATCCCAGCTACTTGGGAGGCTGATGCAGGAGAATTGCTTGAACCCAGGAGGCAGAGGTTGCAGTGAGCTGAAATTGTGCCACTGCACTCCAGCCTGGATGACAGAGCAAGACTCCATCTCATAAGAAAAAGACTGGAAAAACACACCAAAAGTTAATGATTTGGTATCATTTGGAGTACTGCAATGAATTCTTATGATAAATTCTTAAAAAAAATTTTTTTTTTTAAGACAGGGTTTCACCATGTTGATCAGGCTGGTCTTGAACTCTCAACCTCAGGTGATTCGCCTGCCTTGGCCTCCAAAGTGCTTGGATTACAGGCGTGAGCCACCACACCCGGCCAAATTTTTTTTTAAAGGCTAGAGTGCAATGATACAATCTTGGCTCATGCAATCTCCGCCTCCCAGGTTCAAGCAATTCTCTTGCCTCAGACTCCCAAGTAGCTGGGACCACAGGTGCCTACCAACAAGCCCGGATAATTTTTGTATTTTTAGTAGAGATGGGGTTTCACCATATTGGCCAGGCTGATCTTGAGCTCTGGACCTCAGGTAATCCACCTGCCTTGGCCTCCCGAAGTGCTGGGATTATAGGTGTGAGCCACCGTGCCTGGATGAATTCTTTAAATTCGATAATGAATTTAAAATTTTCTATATGTAACCCTAGTTTTCCTGGGCTGCCTAGATATGCATAATACTTGTTCAAGGTCACAGTAAAAACATACACGCCAGGCTGGGGATGGTGGCTCACGCCTGTAATCCCAGCACTTTGGGAGGCCGAGGCAAGAGTTCAAGACCAACCTGGCCAATATGGTAAAACCCCATCTCTACTAAAAAATAATAAAAATTAGCCAGGTGTGGTGGTACATACTTGTAATCCCAGCTACCCAGAAGGCTGAGGCAGATCACAAGGTCAGGCGTTCAAGACCAGCCTGACCAACACGGTGAAACCTCGTCTTGGCCAGGCGCAGTGGCTCACGCCTGTAATCCCAGCACTTTGGGAGGCCGAGGCGGGTGGATCATTTGAGATCAGGAGTTCGAAACCAGCCTGTTCAACATAGCGAAACCCCGTCTCTACTTAAAATACAAAATTAGCCGGGCATGGTGGTACATGCCTGTAATCCCAGCTACTCGGGAGGCTGAGGCAGGAGAATCACTTGAACCTGGGAGGTGGAGGTTGTAGTGAGCCAAGATTCTGCCACTGCACTCCAGCCTGGGCAACAAGAGCAAAACTCCATCTTATAGCATGATTTTTCAGTTTACTCATATGAGCCTAACCTGCTTTTATAGTGACAAAAATATGCATATGGAATTTTTAGGCTGGATGCAGTGGCTCATGCGTATAATCCCAGCACTGTGCGAGGGAGGTCTAGGTGGGCAGATCACCAGAGATAAGGAGTTTGAGACCAGCCTGGCCAACATGGTGAAACCCTATCTCTACTAAAAATACAAAAAAATTAACTGGGTGTGGTGGTGCATGCCTGTAGTCACAGCTACTCGGGAGGCTGAGGCAGGAGAATCCCTAGAACTCCATTGTACTCCAGCCTGGGCAACAAGAGTGAAACTCAAAACTTTGGCTCAAAAAAAAACCATTTTTTTTTAAACAGCAGAAAATATGTACAAAACAAGGTGTGCCTTAGATCCTATTTCTTCTCTCACTGTGTATTTTAAGCACGATGCCAGGCTTGGCAATCATAGCTAGACTTTCATTGTTTCTGTTCTCTCCAGGAACTGATTCAGACAGTAAGTTTAGGAGGCAACTATCTTCTGAACATTGGACCAACTAAAGATGGACTGATTGTTCCCATCTTCCAAGAAAGGCTTCTTGCTGTTGGGAAGTGGCTGAGCATCAATGGGGAGGCTATCTATGCCTCCAAACCATGGAGGGTTCAATGGGAAAATAACGCAACATTTGTATGGTGAGTCTTGTCTTCTGTTGTGTGTAAGAACAGGACTGTGCCCCATCCGGAACTGGTATCTCCTTGGGTCCACAATGTTATAAGTCAGGCTGGAACTTGCCCCGAGAAAATCCAAAAGCTGTTATTTTCCTACCAAATTTGTATACCATTTGAGTTACGTGCTAGGCTACTAGGTTATCTTTGACTGGTGAGGGGAGAGAGTGGGTTTGGTGAAAAGGGAAGAAGCAACAAAGCATCAGTCAGTTTATTGAGATTATTACCCTGCCCCCTAAAAATAGTAATAATGAATGTTTGCATTGCACCTAGGGCCCCATTCTAAATTCTTTCCATTTATACTAGACTTCTGGATCTAGTTATTTGATCTTTGGCCCCAGTTTTTCCACTGCAGAATGGAGTGATAATACTTTATAGTGTCGTTGTAAGGATTAAATGAAATGAGTGCCAGGCACAAACTAAGTGTTCAATAAAAGGGAACTGCTTATATTATACTAGAGAGCTTAGGTCTCTGGATCTAATCCCTCTGTTTTGGATGAGTTTCTGTTTAGTGGTTGTCTTAGTCCATTTTCTGTTGCTATAACTAAATCCTACAGACTGGATTATTTTTTTTAAGACAGTTTCACTCTGCCTCCCAGGTTCAAGCAATTCTCCTGCCTCAGCCTCCTAAACAGCTGGGATTACAGGTACCCGCCACCATGCCCAGCTAATTTTTGTAATTTTAGTAGAGATGGGATTTCACCATGTTGGCCAGGCTGGTCTTGAACTCCTGGCCTCAAGTGATCCACCCACCTCTGCCTCTTGAACCTCTGGGATTACAGGCATGAGCCACTGCACCTGGCTCAGACTGGATAATTTTTAAAGAATAGAGGTTTATTTAACTCACAGTTCTGGAGGCTGGGAAGTTCCAGAGCATAGCACCAGCATCTGGTGAGGGCCTTCCTGCTACATCATGACATGGTTGGAACAAGAGTGGTCATGTCCACTGAGGTCTGTCTTCCTCTTATAAAGCCATCAGTCCCATCATGGGGCCCTACTCTGATTACCTTATCTGATCCTAATTACTTCCCATATCTGATCCTAATTACTTCCCAAAGGCCTCACCTCTAAATACTGTACCATCAAAACATATGAATTTGGGGATTAAGTTTCCAACACATGAGATTTGGGAGACACATTCAAACCATAGTGATGATGTTCATCCTCCTCAATCATAGTGAAATCTCAGAACAGGCATGGTGGCTCACATTTGTAAACTCAGCACTTTGGGAGGCCAAGCTGGGTGGATCACCTGAGGTCAGGAGTTCAGTCAGGCCAACATGGTGAAACCCCATCTCTACAAAAATACAAAAATTAGTTGGGCATGATGGTGGATACCTGTAATCCCAGTTACTTGGGAGGCTGAGGGGAGAATTGCTTGAACCCAGGAGGAGGAGGTTGCAGTGAGCCAAGGTCACGCCATTGCACTCCAGCCTGGGTGACAGAACAAGACTCCGTATCAAAAAAAAAAAAGAAAAAGAAAAAGAAACAAAAAAAATAAATATCTGAACAACAAATTTGTCTTCATTGCATATCTTGTTCTTGTTATAGTCTCTCCTATGTTCACATCAATTTGTAATAGAAAAGGGATTTGAATAATAAGGTAAATGGCTTCATTTACGTGAAGTAACTGGGAGGCCGAGGTGGGCAAATCACCTGAGGTCAGGAGTTCAAGACCAGCCTGGCCAACATGGCAAATCCTTGTCTCTACTAAAAATAGAAAAATTAGCCAGGTGTGGTGGTAGGCACCTGTAATCCCAGTTACTCAGGAGGCTGAGGCAGGAGAATCACTTGAACCAAGAAAGCAGAGGTTGGAGTGAGCCGAGATCATGCCACTGCACTCCAGCCTGGGTGACAGAGCAAGACTCCATCTCAGAAAAAAAAAAAAAAGAACTTAAGGAGCCAAGCGAGGTGGCTCATGCCTGTAGTCCCAGCACTTTGGGAGGGCAACGCAAATGCATCACTTGAGGCCAGGAGTTCAAAACCAGCCTGGTCAACATAGCAGAACGCTCCCTCTACTAAAAATACAAGGTTAGCTGGGCATGGTGGTGCACATCTGTAATCCAGTGGCTTGGGAGGCTGAGAGACAAGAATTGCTTGAATCCAGGAGGAGGAGGTTGCAGTGAGCCAAGATCACACCTCTGCACTCCAGCCTGGGCGACAGAGTGAGACTGACGGGCAACAGAGTGAGACTGACTCAAAAAAAAAAAAAAAAAAAAATTTAAAATGGGGAATGCATAAAGTTATGTATCAGGATAACAAGCCAGGTATGTTTGACAGTATTGTATCTGTTTTCCCAGGTATACCTCAAAAGGATCAACTGTTTATGCCATTTTTAAGCACTGGCCAGAAAATGGACTCTTAAACCTTGTATCCCCCATAACTACCTCAACTACGAAGGTAATCAGCCCTTGTCAGTCCTAAGATGTAACTTTCTCTAAAAGAATTGGCAGATGCTTCCTTTCTTCCTTCCCCATCGGGTTTCTCCCATATTCATACCTCTTTTAGACTGGCTTTCCTGCCCTAGCCCAGCGTGGCTGTTTTCCACCATATTCAGCTTGTATTCTATACTCATTAGTGCATTACCAATTTTTTTCATTCCCTTTTGTTTTCTGCAGATAATGATGCTGGGAATTCAAGGAGATCTAAAGTGGTCCGCAGATCCGGATAAAGGTCTGCTCGTCTCTCTGCCCCAGTTGCCACCCTCTGCCGTCCCTGTAGAGTTTGCTTGGACTATAAAGCTGGCAGGAGTGAAGTAATCATTTGTGTGCAAGAAGGAAGAGGCACTGCCTGCTGTTTTGCTGCCTCAGTTTTTTTCTTATAGTACCATCGCTATAATCAGTGCACTTCTCTTCCCCACCCAGAGATGGGCTTTTCCAACACATTTCAGTCCAAGGAACTGCGTATATTACCCTGATGTCTTAATGGACCAAAGATCTGAGATCCATTGTGATTATATCTGTGGCAGGTCAGCAGAAGAAGGGACTGAACAGTTAAACTTTGAGTTCATTAATTCTAATATTTGGAAATTATCTACAGTGGAATCTTCCCTCTGTTCTCTGATAACCTACTTGCTTGCTCAGTGCCTTTAAGCCAAGTCACCCTGTTGTCCACAGGAGGAGGTGGAAAGGATTTGGCAAGGTCAACCACATGCTATTGAGTTAGCATCAGTTGTCACCAACATGCCTTCTGCAAGGGGCAGGAGAGCTTTGGGGGAAAAGAAAAGGCTCACCAGGCTGCTAATGGTCAACTCTTCAGAAATTTCCAGAGCAATCTAAGAGCACCAAATTTCGCTGTGTTTACAATGATACTATTAATAAAATGAATGTGATTCTGCTCTTTTTAAATGTGATCAAATAAAAAAATTTGTGTGTCATTTCATTTCTACCAAAAAAACATGGTGTAGCTTTCTTTTCCTGGTTTCAACTTAGACTGCTTATAACTTTATGATCAGTTTCTGGGTTTTTGTTTTTTTTTTTTTTTTGAGGCGGAGTTTCGCTCTTGTTACCCAGGCTGGAGCGCAATGGCGCGATCTCGGCTCACCGCAACCTCCGCCTCCTGGGTTCAGGCAATTCTCCTGCCTCAGCCTCCTGAGTAGCTGGGATTACAGGCACAAGCCACCATGCCCAGCTAATTTTTTTTGTATTTTTAGTAGAGATGGGGTTTCACCATGTTGACCAGGATGGTCTCGATCTCTCGACCTCGTGATCCACCCGCCTCGGCCTCCCAAAGTGCTGGGATTACAGGCTTGAGCCACCGCGCCCGGCTGGTTTTTTTTTTTTTTTAAAGCTTGTAGAGTCTCCTTAACACTGAACAAAAAAATGTAATTCCTGTGTTTTTTCTGCTTCTCACTTCTAGTACCATTCTTTTGAGTTGAGTGCCAGTTCAGCCTCTTTGTTATAGAGCTAATCAAGTTTTCTATTTCATTTTTACTTAATAAATATATTTAGAAATCTTGTTTTGTTTTGAGGCAGAGTCTTGCTCTGTTGCCGAGGCTGGAGTACAGTGGTGCAGTCTTGGTTCACTACAACTTCCACCTCCCAGGCTCAAGTGATCAGAATTTTTTTTCCGGGGGGAAGGCGGGTAGGGATGGGTTTCACCATATTGCCCAGGCTGGTCTTGAACTCATGGGCTCAAGTGAACCACCCACTTCAGCCTCCCAGAGTGCTGGGATTACAGTTGTAAGCCACCACACCCAACCAAATAGATGTATTTAGAAATCTTTACTCAGCATTTAAGGAATACATGTTTTTCTCAAGCACATGTGGAACATTTGCAAATCTCAAATACCAAAGCAGCAGCAGCATATAAGCTATTTAGTGTGTCTACAACACAATTAAACAACCATAACAAAACTTGGGGAAGAAAAAAAATCTATGTTTGGAAGTTTTAAAATAAACTAACTCATTGTGTTACTGATTCATAAATTGTGCCATGAGATAAAAAGAATTCCACATACATAGTTCTGGTGAGACAAATGAAGCCTGGTTGTGAAAGAAAAGTAGAAATTAGTGTAAGTAGATTAGCATAGCCAATTTTATTTAGATCTCTTTCTGCCCAGAGTTAGAGAGCAAGTTGGTAATAATAATATTGCTTATATAGTTCCTCACAGTCTTTTTTGTTTTGTTTTTTGTTTTTTGAGACTGGGTCTCGATCTGTCACCCATGCGATCTTGGCTCACTGCAACCTCCACCTCCCAGGTTAAAGCAATTCTCTGCCTCAGCCTCTGAAGTAGCTGGGCTCATAGGTGCCCACCACCACACCCAACTAATTTTTGTATTTTTAGTAGAGACGGGGTTTCCTGACCTCAGGTGATCCGCCCACCTTGGCCTCAAAAAGATCTGGGATTACAGGCATGAGCCACCACGCCCGGCCAAGCTTCTTACAAATCAAGGTCCAGGTGGGTTGTTTCCTTTCCCTTAGCAGGTGGAATAGGTCTGTGGAGAGTGACAGGCACAAATGGTTTGCTATGAAGACACGGTTGAAACCCCTTACAAAATGGAAGTTGGGCCAGACAAAGTGGCTCACACCTGTAATCCCAGCACTTTGGGAAACCGAGGTGGGCAGATCATGAGGTCAGGAGATCAAGACTATCCTGAATAACACAGTGAAACCCCACCTTTATTAAAAATACAAAAAATTAGCCAGGCATGGTGGCACATGCCTGTAGTCCCAGCTACTGGGGAGGTTGAGGCAGAAGAATTGCTTGAACTCCAGAGTCGGACATTGCAGTGAGCCTAGATGGCACCAGTGCACTCCAGCCTGGGCAACAGAGCACGTCTCTGTCTCAAAAATAGAAAATGACGGTCCAAGATGTGTTCCGGTTCTTAAACTTGAACTCCTGGCCTCAAGCCATTCTCCCACCCCCGCCTCCCAAAGTGCTGGGATTACAGGTGTGAATGAACGAGCCTGATCCAAATTCTTAAACTTTCCATACTGTATCAGATGTCGCTAATAAATCTGTATTCAGTAAATCAGTGTTGGAGGGTCTTCCACAATGGAGATAATAAACTGCATGCCTTAAAACATTTGACCTCAATTCAAACGTTCAAAGTCAACCATTGTTGAAATTGCCGGACAAGATCAGGATGGATTGCAATGAAGAGTGGTTGAACCTCTTACAAGGGCTCACAGTGTGTCTCAATTCTTCAGCTAGGGACCTAGGGACCTTGGGAGGCCACTCACTCTCATTTGCCACAAAATCCTAGTATGACAAATTATTATTTTTTTATTATTTGTTTATTTATTTAGAGATGGATTCTGGCTCTGTTGCCCAGGCTGGAGTGCAGTGGTCCAGTCTCAGCTCACTGCAACCTCCGCCTCCAGGGTTCAAGCAATTCTCCTGCCTCAGTCTCCCAAGTAGCTGAGATTATAGGCATCCGCTGCCACACCCTGCTAATTCTTGTAATTTTAATAGAGATGGGGTTTTACCATATTGACCAGGCTGGTCTCAAACTCCTGATCTCAGGTGACCCACCCACCTTGGCCTCCCAAAGTGCTGGGACTACAGGCATGAGCCACTGCCCCTGGCCTCACATATTGAATTAGAAACTTCATTCACTAATATTCAACTGCCTTTTTCAATACAAGCATTTAAGCCTTTAATATATTTCCATTATCATTTAATTCTAAGTATATTATGATTTCTTTTTTTTTTTTTTTTTTGAGACGGAGTTTCGCTCTTGTTACCCAGGCTGGAGTGCAATGGCGCAATCTCGGCTCACTGCAACCTCCGCCTCCTGGGTTCAGGCAGTTCTCCTGCCTCAGCCTCCTGAGTAGCTGGGATTACAGGCATGTGCTACCATGCCCAGCTAATTTTTTGTATTTTTAGTAGAGACGGGGTTTCACCATGTTGGCCAGGCTGATCTCAAACTCTTGAGCTCAAGTGATCCATCCACCTCAGCCTCCCAAAATGCTAAGATTACAGGCATGAGCCACCACGCCTGGCCTATTGTTCCCATGTTAATGTCTATGTGTACTCCATGTTTAGCTCCCACCTATAAGTGAGAACATGTCGTATTTGGTTTTCTGGTTTCACTCTGGCTCATGCCTCCAGCTCCATTCATGCTGCTCCAAATAACATGATTTCATTCTTTTTTATGGCTGTGCTTTTCTCCTATGTTTTCTTCTGAGAGTCTTGTAGTTTTTGTTCTTATGTTTAGGCCTTTTACCTATTTTGAGTTAGCTTTTTTTTTTTTTTTTTTTTTTTTGAGATGGAGTCTCTCTCTCTCACCCAGGCTATAGAGCAGTGGTGTGATCTTGGCTCATTGCAACCTCCGCCTCCTGGGTTCAAGCGAATTCTCCTGCCTCAGCCTCCTGAGTAGCTGGAATTACAGGTGCACGCCAGCATGCCTGGCTAATTTTTTATATTTTTAATAGAGATGGGGTTTCGCCATATTATTCAGAATGGTCTCGATCTCCTGACCTCATGATCCGCCCTCTTTGGCCTCCCAAAGTGCTGGGATTACAGGTGAGAGTCACCGCGCCTAGCCTTGAGTTAGCTTTTGTATATGGTGTCAGGTTAGGGTCCAACTTTATTCTTTCACGTGTGAATATCTAGTTTTCCCAGCGTAATTTGTTTTAAAAGACCGTCTTTTCTCCATGGAATGATTTTGACACTTTTGTCAAAAATCATTTGACTATATATACAAGGGTTTGTATCTGGGCTCTCTATTCTACTTCATTGGTCTACGTCTGTATTTATTTTAGCACCACACTCTTTTGTTCAGTATAGTAAGGTTTGAAATCAGGAAGTTTGAGTCCTCCAACTGTCCTTTTTCAAGATTGTTTTGGCTATTCAAGGGCCATTGAGATTCCATGTGAATTTTAGGATGAGTTTTTCTATTTCTGCAAAAAATTCCTTGGGGTTTTAATAGGGATTTAATTCAATCTGTAGATCATTTTGGCTACTGACATTTTAACAATATTTTGGGAGGCCAAGATGGGGAGATCACCTGAGGTCAGGAGTTCAAGACCAGCCTAGTCAACATGGTGAAACCCTACCTCTTCTAAAAATACAGTATTAAGTCTTCTTGGCTGGGCGCAGGAACTCACATCTTTAATCTCAACACTTTGGTGCCCCTAGGCAAGAAAGGTCACTTAAGCCCAGGAGTTCAAGACCAGTCTGGGCAACATGGCAAGACCCTTATCACTACAAAAAATTTAAAACTTAACTGGGTGTAATGGCCCACGTACCAATGGTCCCAACTACTCAGGAGGCTGAGGTGGAAGGATGGCTTGAGCCCAGGAGGTTGAGGCTACAGTGAGCTATGATTGCTCTGCTACACTCCAGCCTGATCAAGAGAATGAGTGAGATCCCATCAAAAAAAAAAAAAAGAAAGAAAGAAAGAAAGGCTGGGTGTGGTGGCTCATGCCTGTAACCCCAGCACTTTGGGAGGCCGAGGAGGGCAGATGATTTGAGGTCAGGAGTTCAAGACCAGCCTGGCCAACATGGTGAAACCCTGTATCAACTGAAAGTACAAAAGTTAACCAGGTATGGTGGCGTACGCCTATAATCCCAGCTACTCTGGAGGCTGAGGCAGGAGAATCACTTGAACCTGGGAGGCAGAGGTTGCAGTGAGCTGAGATCGCATCATTACACTGCACTCCAACCTGGGTGACAGAGTAAGACTCTGTCTCAAAAACAAAACAAAACAAACCAGGCCAGGCACGGTTGTTCACGTCTGGTAATCCCAGCACTTTGGGAGGCTGAGGCAGCTGGATCATGAGGTCAGGAGATAGAGACCAGCCTGACCAACATGGTGAAAACCCATCTCTACTAAAAATACAAAAATTAGCCCGGTGTGGTGGCGCGCCTGTAGTCCCAGCTACTCGGGAGGCTGAGGCAAGAGAATCGCTTGCACTGGGAGGCGGAGATTGCAGTGAGCCAAGATGGTGCTACTGCCCTCCACCCTGGCGACAGAGCAGGACTCCATCTCAAAACAAAAACAAAACAGAAAGCAAAAAAGAAAAACAGTGCTCTAAGCATTTTGTTTGCCTCAGGGCCACTGCAAATGCTACAATGTCTGGAAAGTTTTTCTTGTATCCTCTTCATCTGGATAAATCTTTTTTCCAGCCCTTCAGAAAGTACACCTAGATAGGTCTTAATCATTTTTTCAGGTATGAAATCTAAGGATGCACCCCTCCCTGGAGCTGCCTGCCTGTGTTTGAATCCTGAAGATCGTGATGCACGAGTTAATTAGTGCAAAAAATTCAGAGCAGTGAGTGGCGAATCATAAAGCTGCTCCTTAAGTGCAAGTCAGAAATGATGACACGACTGTTTGTGTAATTATTATCTTCTTGTTTCCTCATATCTTCCACACTCTAAACACAAGAAGCCACAGGCTTTGGCTAATTTCTGTTCATCTTTTTGTTTGTTTGGTTTTTGACAGGCTCTCTGTTTTGATTTCTTTGTTTTTGACAGGCTCTCACTGTGTCGCCCAGGCAGGAGTGCAGTGGCGGCTCTCTGCTCGCTGCAACCTCAGCCTCCCAGCCTCAAACGATCCTCCTGCCTCAGCCTCCCAGTTAGCTGAGATCACGGGCATGCGCCACCATGCCTGGCTTTTTTTTTTTTTTTTTTTTTTTTGAGATAGTCTTGCTCTGTCACCCAAGCTGGAATGCAGTGGTGTGATCTCAGCTCACTGCAACCTCGCCTCCCGGGTTCAAGCAATTCTCCTGTCTCAGCCTCCCGAGTACAGTAGCTGGGATTACAGGAGCCCATCACCATGTCCCGCTAATCTTTTTTGTATTTTTAATAGAGACGGGGGAGGGGGGAGTTTGCGCCATGTTAGCCAGGCTGGTCTCGAACTTCGGACCTCAGGTGATCTATCCGCCTTGGCCTCCCAAAGTGTTAGAATTACATGTTGTCCAGACTGATTCTGTTCATCTTTATATTCCTAGCGTCTTACTTGGCTGGGAATGCAAGAGGCGCTCGGAAAAAAACGGAGAGAGACTGGGGGTGGAGCCAGCTTGGACGTCACTGCGGAGGGGCGAGCCCAGCCCATCCGGTTGGCAGTCGGTCACGTGGGGCCCAGATGGGCTGCCGCGGGGCATGCTGGGCCAAGATGGCAGCAATGAGGAAGGCGCTTCCGCAGCGGCTGGTGGGCTTGAAATTCCTCCGGGCTGTAAGTGCCCCGGGCCGCTGAGGCGGCGGCCCTCCAGGCACTCTTTGACTGTCAGGGTCGGGGGCTTGGCCCGTGGTGGCTGCTCTCTTAGAGGCGAGGCCGGACAACTCTCAGGCCAGAGTCGGGAGGGCCTTGGAGTCTTGGACCCTCCGTGTTCCCCCCAAATCCTTTGAAGGGGATGGGAAAACTGGGATCCGGAGAGATGGTTGACCATGGAGACCTGGGACGCCATCCTAGGCGTCCTGATTCCCCGCCCAGGGCTCTTTGCGGTGACCCTGGCCCCTTTCTCCCTCTAATTGTGCTTCAGACCTCTCCAACTCTTCATTAGTGAAAATCACGAACAGCCTTCCATTTCCTTCGCCTGCATTTCTAACTCCTGTCGCTTTTAGAGACGCTTGAGCAGCGATCGCAGTGTTATCGAGCAGGACTTGAGTTAACGGAGCCAAGCTGTGATTCCCTTGAATTGCACTTTGATCCTGTTCGATCCTGATGTTTTCCCCTCTCCTGTTCTCAACAGAGGAAAAGTGTAGGAGAGATAGCTGTATAAAGAGTGCGGTGGTTCATGGCTGTAATCCCAGCACTTTGGGAGGCGAGGCGGGTGGATCACGAGGTTAGGAGATAAGAGACCAGCCTGGCCAATATGGTGAAACCCCCGTCTCTCCTAAAAGTACAAAAATTAGTTGGACCTGGTGGCTCATGTCTGTAATCCTTCTGGGCTCAAGTAATCCTCCCACCTCAGCCTCTTGAGTAGCTGGGACTATGGGTCCATGCCACCACACCTGGCTAATTTTTGTATTTTTAGTAGAGATGGGATTTCTTCATGTTGGCTAGGCTGGTCTCGAAGGCCTGCCTTGGCCTTCCAAAGTGCTGGGATTACGGGCGTGAGCCACCTTGCCTGGCCTTTTTCTTTTTTTTCTTTCTTTCTTTTTTTGAGATGGAGTCTTGCTCTGTCCCCCAAGATAAGATGAGATCGAGTACAGTGATGCGATCTCAGCTCACTGTAACTTCTGTGTCCCGGGTTCAAGCGATTTCCTGACTCAGCCTCCTGAGTAGCTGGAATTACAGACACCCACTACCACGCCTGGCTAGGTTTTGTATTTTCAGTAGAAACAGGGTTTCACAATGTTGGTCAGGATGGTCTTGAACTCCTGACCTCAAGTGATCTGCCACCGCAGCCTCCCAAAGTGCTGGGATTACAGGCGTGAGCCACCACGCCCGGCAATGCCTGGCCTTTTAAAACTACTTCTGGCCAGGCGTGGTGGCTCACGCCTGTAATCCAAGCACTTTGGAGGCCAAGGCAGGCGGATCACCTGAGGTCGGGAGTTCAAGACCAGCCTGACCAACATGGTGAAACTCCGTCTTTAAAATAAATAAATAAATAAAAATAAAATAAAACTACTTCTAATGTACATACAGCAGCATATAGAGTCCTGTAGGCCATGGTGAATAGGTGAAAGGGATGAATCAAGTTCTGGCTTAAGCAATAGGATACATGTGATGCCTTTTATGGAAATGGAAAGGATGGAGTTGGCCAGGCTTTAGAAGAAATTAAGAGTTCTAGCCGGGCATGGTGGCTCAAGCCTGTAATCCCAGCACTTTGGGAGGCTGAGGCGGGTGGATCACGAAGTCAAGAGATCGAGACCATCCTGGTCAACATGGTGAAACCCTGTCTCTACTAAAAATACAAAAAATTAGCTGGGTATGGTGGCACGTGCCTGTAATCCCAGCTACTCAGGAGGCTGAGGCAGGAGAATTGCCTGAACCCAGGAGGCGGAGGTTGCGGTGAGCTGAGATCGTGCCATTGCACTCCAGCCTGGGTAACAAGAGTGAAACTCCATCTCAAAAAAAAAAAAAAGAAATTAAGAGTTCTGTTTCAGGATGGCTACACTGAAGGTATGTAAATAGAGCTGTCAGGCAGGCAGTAGAAAATGAGTCTGAATTTCAGGAAGAACCTGTAATGGGAGCGTGTAATCTCTTGCTTGTTGCTGTTACTGTGTGAAATATTCTTTTTGTTCTTAATTCTGAAACAGACCAAATGTGAATTAAATGGTGAGAAACATTTCTTCTTGTCTCATTATTAGTGGATAGATCCATTCTTTCATATTGGTCTTCCTGGGAATTGTGGCAATCTCTTCCTCATAATTCTTGTTTCCTCTTTTAAACCAAAGGTCAGCACCCCATCTATGGGCGCTTTACCAAAGCGGGTGAAAATTGTGGAAGTTGGTCCCCGAGATGGACTACAAAATGAAAAGGTAAAGATGGAAATGAGCCAAAAAAGGTTTTTCAAGCATCTGCTTTGCGTATTCCATGTAGTAGGTGCCATGGCAGTGGACAGAGCTATGCAAGACGTGATTCCTCTGCACGAGTTAGGGAAGAGAAGAGGAGGCCAGACAGGGACACGCACCTGTGACAGTTAAATGATCTACAATGGTGGGGCAAGCTGGGTGGGTGACTCATGCCTGTAATTCCTAATTACTTGGGAGGCTGAGGTGGAAGGATGGCTTGAGCCTAGGAGTTTGAGATGAGTCTGGGCAACACAGCAAGACTCCATTTTATTTAAAAACAACAACAACAACCAAAAAAAAAAAAAAAAAAAAAAACACCAAACGTTAAATTGAATGGTGGTGCAACAAGTTTGGTGTCTCCAGGTCCACAGCCCAGTGGGGTGGGGTAGTAAAACCAAATGCAGAGATTTAATCTTGGGGGTGTTCCTTATGAACCTGTTGGTAAGAGCGTAACAGTTAGAAACAGCCTAAATGTTCAGTATGAGGAAAGTTGGGTCGGATACATTATGGACTTTTTATAAAATGAAATATTATGAAGCCATTAATAACATAGGTGTATATTAAGTGGCTCAAGCAGGTTATAAAATATTGTGTGTGGCTGGGCATGGTGGTGGCTCATGCTTGTAATCCCAGCACTTTAGGAGGCTAAGGCAGGTGGATTACTTGAAGCTGGGAGTTTGAAACCAGCCTGGCCAATATGGTGAAACCCTGTCTCTACTGAAAAAAAAACCAAACAACAACAACAAATAGCTGGTCATGGTGGCACACACCTCAGCTACTCCTGAGGCTGATGCACAAGAACCCAGGAGGGAGAGGTTATAGTGAGCCAAGATCACGCCACCCTACTGGTTTGTTTGGAAAGCACAATTCTGTCTCCAAACAAAAGCAAATACTGCATGTACCGATGTTTGTGTGTGTGTGTGTGTGTGTTTGTGTGTGTGTGTGTGTGTGTGTGTATATATATTTTGAGACGGAGTCTCCCTCTGTCACCCAGGCTGGAGTGCATGGTGCAATCTCAGCTCACTGCAGCCTCCACCTCCCGGGTTCAAGTGGTCCTTCTGCCTCAGCCTCCTGAGTAGCTGGGATTACAGGCACCTGCTACCGCGCCCAGCTAATGTTTGTATTTTTAGTAGAGACGGGGTTTTACCATGTTGGCCAGGCTGGTCTCAAATTCCTGACCTCAGGTGATCCACCCGCCTTGGCCTCCCAAAGTGCTGGGATTACAGGCTGGAGCCACTGTGCGTGGCCGTGTAGTTTTCAGTCTTAACATTTTTATGTAAGAAAAAAGTTTACATGGCATATGGTAGCATTTATGCAGACTAGGATCTAGACCAACACTTCCCATGGAACTTTCTGTGAAGATGGAAATATTCTAGACCTGAGCTTTTCCATGTGATGGCCACTAGACCCACCCAAGTGGCCCTTGAGAACTTGACATGTGGCTAGTGTGACTAAGAAATTGGATTTTTATTTTTAAACATTTTTATTAAATTTAAATAACCACATGTGACCAGTGACATGTTGGACTGCACAGATCTAGAAAGTTACACATGAGGGTTTTAATAGTGTTGTCACTGGAAGGTTCTAATGGTAGTTTTGTTTTAGGCATGTTTTTCTGAAAGAATCATATATTGATTATTTTTTCAATAGGAAGCTTTTTCTTTTTTCTTTTCTTTTTTTTTTTTTTTTTAAAGATGGGGTTTCACCATGATGGCAAGGCTGGTCTTGAACTTCTGACCTCAGGTGATCCACCTACCTCAGCCTCCCAAAGTGCTAGGATTACAGGCGTGAGCCACTGCGCCCGGCCCAGAAAAGCTTTTTCTTTTTCTTTCTTTTTCTTTCTTGTTTTTAGCATGTCCACCCTAGCTTTAATAGTGAGTGCTTGTTGGAAACAATAGTGTGTAAGTTCCAGGAAGGCAGAATCCCATCTGTTCTGCTTACCACTATATCCCCAGCACCTAGCACAATGACTGGAACATGGAGGGTTTTCAGACATTATTTGTCAGACCAGGCGTGGTGATTCAGGCCTGTAATCCTGGCATTTTTGGAGGCTGAGGCAGGCAGATCGCCTGAGGTCAGAAGTTTGAGACCAGCCTGGCCAACATGGTGAAACTAAAATAAATGAGGTGGGTGTGGTGGCATTCGAGTGTAGTCCTAGCTACTCTGGAGGCTGAGGCAGGAGAATTGCTTGAACCTGGGAGACCAGAGGTTGCAGTGAGCTGAGATTGCACCACTGTACTCCAACCTGGACAACAAAGTGAGACTCCATCTCAAAAAAAAAAAAAAAAAAAAAAAAATGTGCCATAGATTAAGTTAGAGTAGTGGGTAAGAAACTGAAGAAGGCAGGTGAGGGGAGGAACTAGCAAGAAGGACCTGGAGTTTTTTTATGTGTATTCTATTTGTTTGAGATGGGGTCTTGTTCTGTGTCACCCAGCGCAGTGGCACAATCATGGCTTACTGCTTCCTTGACGTCCTGGGCTCTAGCGATCCTCCCACCTCAGCTTTCCGAATAGCTGGATCACAGGCATGTGCCACCATGCCTGGCTAATTTATGTATTTTTTATAGAGACATAGTTTCATCATGTTATCCAGGCTGGTCTTAAACTGCTAAACTTAAGTAATCTACCCACCTCAGCCTCCCAAAGTGCTGGGATTACAGGTGTGAGCCACTGTGTCTGACCGGACCTGGAGTTCTTAGAATGTTTTGTCTAATCCTGTAAGTACTGGGGAGCTATAGAAAGCTTTTTTTTTTTTTTTTTTTTTTTTTCTGAGACGGAGTTTCGCTCTTGTTACCCAGGCTGGAGTGCAATGGCACGATCTCGACTCACCGCAACCTCCGCCTCCTGGGTTCAGGCAATTCTCCTGCCTCAGCCTCCTGAGTAGCTGGGATTATAGGCACGCGCCACCATGCCCAGCTAATTTTTTGTATTTTTAGTAGAGACGGGGTTTCACCATGTTGACCAGGTTGGTCTCGATCTCTCGACTTTGTGATCCACCCGCCTCGGCCTCCCAAAGTGCTGGGATTACAGGCTTGAGCCACCGCGCCCGGCCTAGAAAGCTTTTGATGCAAGAGAATGAAAGATTGAAGGCTGCATTTTAGGATTCTTGTGTAGGATGAATTAGCGGCATGAGACCATGATACAGGATAATGATGGTAGATTTGGAAAGAGGAATCCATAGAATCTGGTGAGCGACTAGATACGGTGGGGAGGAAGAGAAAGAAGCTATATGCTGAACACATGAGGCTGAAGTCCTGTGCCAGTTGGGAGACAGAAGAAAGAAGGGTGTGGTACTTTGGGGGCCCCATCCCATACCCCCCAGAGGGTTAGTCATCTCTGCCCTTTTAGGCCATCACACATTGCTCTCAATTTGTTTATGAAGGGATTATAAATGAACACACATTTACTAAAGGCAAAGCCTGCATGGCAGAAAAATGTTTCTACATAAATAACTCCTTTTCCGGTGAGAAGCTGCATCCACTGCAAAAAATTACCTGTAGTTTTGAACTAACAAGCACTGCATTCTGAGGCTGTTTTACTACTAACTTTGCTGATCTGGTGTTTCTCTCTCCACTATAGGATGTCGTACCTACTCCAGTGAAAATCAAGCTGATAGACATGCTTTCTGAAGCAGGACTCTCTGTTATAGAAGCCACCAGCTTTGTGTCTCCTAAGTGGGTTCCGCAGGTGAGCCCTAACCCTCAGTAAGAGGCCTTTCTCCAGGGATGAAAAGTTTTGCATTTGCCTTTGAAGCAAGTAGAAGTTGACAACATAGGTTTCCAAGCCCCTGGCTTTGAGAGGTCTCAGGTGATTCATAGCACTGTGTCGCAGCAAAAGAACATGACCTGGGGGATTCAGGCCCTTGGGTCCCGTCTTGGCTGTGCTCTGACTTTCTCAGTGACATTGCTAAGGCCTTTCCCTTTTCCGTGTTAGAGATGACCTCTTCTAGCGCTAAATTCTAAAACCTCTGTGTAGTTTCTTTGTTTGTAAAAGAGGAGGACTGACAACTCCTGCTTCACAAAGATCGTTAAGTGGAGAGGAAACATCCTGTCACAAAATGGGTGTTTAACACAGAGCGGAGCTGAGTGCCTGGCCCAGAGTACATTCTCAATAAATGGCTGGTGATAGTATTCCTGCTGTTTCTGCATAGGTAAAGCTGGAAGTATGGGCCGTATGGAGAAATTGGGATCCATCCAAACCAAGGTCCCTCTGGCCCATCAGCAGTCAAACAAACAGTAAAAGTATTGGAGAGACTCAACTCTGCAGAAGGAATTATTATCTAAGAGTTCTGGAGAACAGAGGTTTTGTGATGAAAAAGTTTTCTCTAACGGAACTCCATGCCTGCTCTTGGTGATGACTTGGCAATGTCTCTTTGTTCCTAGATGGCTGACCACACTGAAGTCTTGAAGGGCATTCAGAAGTTTCCTGGCATCAACTACCCAGTCCTGGTCCCAAATTTGAAAGGCTTTGAGGCAGCGGTAAGAGGATAGCTTGTTGGTGGGGCTCCTGAAATGAGATTGATGGTGTTGGTCCCTGCTTTGACTTGGGGCGTCAGTCCCCTGTCCTGGGATGTCCATCTGAACACTTGTCTGTCGGCCAGACCCTGGGGCAGGCCTGGCCCTGCCACTCACTACTTTGTTGACAAGCCTATAAACTAGGGCTAATGATAGTACCTGAAATTGGGAGCATTTCAGAAGATAGGATGCATGTATGTTGCTTAGCAAGAGCCTGATAAAAGGTAACTGTTTGATAAATGTTAGCTCTTTTGATTAATCACTTCTTTAGAGAAAGGTAACCAAGTTGTCCACAAGAGTTTCTACAGCAGTTGCTGGTATCTGCCAACTTCCTTACAGTTTTAGACAAGAACATCTTTGGAGATGTTCGTTCTGCATTTAGGCCAAAAGCTCTTTTTGGCTGGGCACAGTGGCTTACATCTATACTCCTAGCACTTTGGGAGGCTGAAGAAAGAAATTAGCTTGAGGCCAGAAGCTTGAGACCAGCCTGAGCAACATAAGGAGACTTGTCTCTCCAAAAAAAAACAACAACAAAAAAACTAATTAGCTGACTGTGACGGCCTGCACCCATAGTCCTACCTACTCAGGAGGCTTAGGCAAAGGATGGCTTGAGACCAGGAGTTTGAGGCTACAGTGAGCCATGATAACACCACTGAACTCTGCCCGCTCTTTTTTTTTTTCTGAGACAGAGTTTCGCTCTTGTTACCCAGGCTGGAGTGCAATGGCGCCATCTCAACTCACTGCAACCTCCACCTCCTGGGTTCAGGCAATTCTCCTGCCTCAGCCTCCTGAGCAGCTGGGATTACAGGCACGCGCCACCATGCCCAGCTAATTTTTTGTATTTTTAGTAGAGACGGGGTTTCACCATGTTGACCGTGATGGTCTCGATCTCTTGACCTTGTGATCCACCCACCTTGGCCTCCCAAAGTGCTGGGATTACAGGCTTGAGCCACCGCGCCCGGCCTCTGCCTGCTCTTGGTGATGACTTGGCAATGTCTCTTGGTTCCTAGATGGCTGACCACACTGAAGTCTTGAAGGGCAGTCATCAAGCCTGGGTGACAGAACAAGAGAAAAAAAAAGCTTTTTCTCAAGAGTGACTTCCAGGGTGGTGATGGCAGTGGTGGTGGTTTCCTTGGGGAAAGTCAAAGTTTTTGTTTTTTTTCACTGAGAGAATTTACTGTGTTTGTTTCCTAGGGCTACTATAAGAAAGCACTACAAACTGGGTGGTTTAAAACAACAGGAATGTATTCTCTCACAGTTCTGGAGGCCAGAAGTCCCAAGTCAAGGTGTCAGCAGCATTGGTTCCATCTGAGGCCTCTGGGAGAATCTGTCCTGTGCCTCTCTGCTGGGGTCTGGTGGTGGCTGGCAGTCCTTGTCATTGCCTGGCTTGTAGATGCCTCTCTTCAGTCTCTGCCTCCATCTTCCCAGGGCCATCTTCTCTGTGTCTCTGTGTCTTCACGTGGCCATCTTTTTTTAAGGTCACCAGTCCTAGGAGAGCAGGAGCCCATCCTATTCCAGTATGGCTTCATCTTAACTCATTTTATCTCCAATGACCCTGTTTCCAAATAAGGTCACATTCTGAGGTGCTGGGTTTTAGTTCTTCAACATGTCTTTTTAGGAGGGCACAATTCAACCCATAACATTCACATAACATCAAATTTACCTGAAGAGAAGTTTTTTGGCCGGGTGCAGTGGCTCACACCTATAATCCTAGCACTTTGGGAGGCTGAGGTAGGCAGATCACAAGTTCAGGAGTTCTAGACCATCCTGGCTAACATGGTGAAACCCCGTCTCTACTAAAAATACAAAATAATTAACTGGGCGTGGTGGCATGTGCCTGTAATCCCAGCTACTCAGGAGGCTGAGGCAGGAGAATTGCTTGAACCTGGAAGGCGGAGGTTGCAGTGAGCCAGGATCGCACCACTGCACTCCAGCCTAGGCGACAGAATGAGACTCCATCTCAAAAAAAAAAAAAACAAACACAACCTTTTTGCCGCTCTGTGTCAGTGTTCCTGAAAGAGAAAAGTGCTAAAAGGAGTTCTGAACGTTGGCAGGTTGCTGCTGGAGCCAAGGAAGTGGCCGTCTTCGGAGCTGCCTCAGAGCTCTTCATGAAGAAGAACATCAACTGTTCCATAGAGGAGAGTTTTCAGAGGTTTGATGCAGTCTTGAAGGCAGCCCGGTCAGCCAGTATTTCTGTGCGAGGGTGAGTCAGAGCATATTGGTATCTTTTCCTCTGTACCGTTCTGGAATGGAAGTAGACTCGGACTCAAGTGGTCCTCCTACCATAAACTTCTTATCCAGGGCGGAGGCAGCCCAAGCTCCACACCTAGACGTCTTTTCCCAAGTAAGCGTGGTCAGAAGAAATCCTAGCCAAGTACTTTCTCTCTAACCTGAATTTTGGGTCCGTTCACCAGCTGACTGTGATGGCATGTGCCTAGCAACTTGCGAGACTAAGGCAGAGGATGGCTTGAGACCAGAGTTCGAGGCTGCAGTGAGCCATGATAGCAGCACTGCTGTCATGCCAGAGGAATCTAGTAGGACAGGACGCTAATTGGGGTTTATGGAGGTCAGTTGAGTCCTGGCGTTAACACTAGCTCTTCACACATCCCTGGAGAGTTCCCGAGGCTTCTAAATTTCCAACATCACAGCTCTACTATCAGTAGTTCCAGGGATTGTGTATTATCTATAATAACTGAAACCTCACAATAGCCCAGCAGGGAGTAGGTTATCCCCACTACATAAATGACAAAACCGAGGCCCAGTGAATAGTCTACTGTAAGGTCACACTACTGTGCAAATTGAAGCCAGAGGCCAGGTGCAGTGGCTCACATCTGTAATCCCAGCACTTTGGGAGGCCAAGGTGGGTGAATCACCTGAGGCCAGGAGTTTGAGACCAGCCTGGCCAACATGGTGAAACCCCATTTCTATTAAAAATATAAAAATTGGCCGGGCGCAGTGGCTCACGCCTATAATCCCAGCACTTTGGGAGGCCGAGGCGGGTGGATCACTAAGTCAAGCGATCGAGACCATCCTGGTCAACATGGTGAAACTCCGTCTCTACTAAAAATACAAAAAAGTAGCTGGGCGTGCCTGTAATCCCAGCTACTCAGGAGGCTGAGGCAGGAGAATTGCCTGAACCCAGGAGGCGGAGGTTGCGGTGAGCCGAGACCACACCATTGTACTCCAGCCTGGGTAACAAAAGCAAAACTTCGTCTCAAAAAAAAAAAAAAATTAACTGGGGCATGGTGGTGGGCACCTGTAATTCCTGCTACTCAGGAGGCTGAGGCAGGAGAATCACTTGAACCTGGGAGATGGAGGTTGCAGCAATCTGAGATCCTTCCACTGTACTTCAGCCTGGGCCACAGAGCAAGACTCTGTCTCAAAAAAAAAAAAAAAAAAAAAATTGTAGCCGGAATGATCTTTTCAAAAATGCATATCTGGGCCGGGCTTACTCCTATAATCCCAGCACTTTGGGAGGCCAAGGCGAGAGGATCACCTGAGGTCAGGAGTTTGAGACCAGCCTGGCCAACATGGTGAAACCCTGTCTCTACTAAAAGAACAAAAATTAGCCGGGTGTGGTGGCACATGCCTGTAATCCCAGCTACTCGGGAGGCTGAGGCAGGGGAATCACTTGAACCCGGAAGGCAGAGGTTGCCACTGCTTTCCAGCCTGGGTGACACAGCAAGACTCTGTCTCAAAAAACAAAACAAAACAAAAACACTATAAAGTGCACAGCTGATCACATCCCTCCTGGTTAAAAACCTTTTAGTGACTAACCAAGTGCAGACTTTTTTACTTTTTATTTTATTTTATTTTTTTAAAGATGGGGTTTCACCATGTTGGTCAGGCTGGTCTTGAACTCCCGACCTCAGGTGATCCGCCCACCTTGGCCTCCAAAGTGCTTGGATTACAGGCGTAAGCCACTGCGCCCGGCCAAGTGCAGACTTTTTAATGAGGTTTACAAGACCCTGCATGATTTGGTCCCAGCTATCTTCTGTAGCCCTACTGTTCACATTCCCTTCTGGCCCCTGCTTCCTCTGCATGGTACACTCCAGCCCAAATAGAACTTCTTTCTGTCACATGCCTCTACTCTCTCTTGCCTCTGGGCCTTTGCATGTGCTTTCTGTGGACTCAGAACACCCTTCCTTGGAAGGCCAAGGTGGGTGGGTCGCTTGAGCCCAGGAGTTTGTGACCAGCCTGGGCAACATGATGAAACCCTATCTCTAAAAAAAAAAAAAACTAGGTGTAGTGGGATGTGTCTGTAGTCCCAGCTACTTGGGAAGCTCAGATGGGAGGATCACCTGAGCCTGGGGGATCCAGGCTGAAGTGAGCCAAAATCATGCCACTGCACTCCAGCATGGGCGAAAGAGTGAGACTCTGTCTCCAAAAAAAAAAAAAAAACACTTCCTCCACATCATCATGCTTCCCGGGGATAACTCCTCCTCATCCTTCAGGTCCTCCTGTGGGAGTCAGTTCCTCTGAGGAGCTGCCCCAGTCCTTCAGCTGGAGTTAGCACCCTTCTCTGGGAACCCATAGTGTCTGGACATCCTCTAATGTAGCACTTAGCTGCTTTTAAAATTCCCTCCCTGCCCCACCTCACTAGACCATGCACTCCATGAGGGCAAAGCCCTCACCTCTCCCAGTCCCTGGGTGCTCTGCTTTTCCGCTCAGGGCCTAGCACACAGTGGGCACTCAGCCACTGGTGGGCAGGTAGATGAATGAGGAAGCAGGGGCCTCCAGTGACATTGGCCCGACTCCCACATCTGTGTCTTCCTCAGTATCTCACTTACCTTTCTCTTGCTCAGCAGTGGTTGGAGAATAAGTGGGAGCATTAAAATGGAAAAGTACACTGGGTTCTTTGAGTCTGAAATTATTTATCTGTTGAACATTTATTATGCCTCTTAATATGCAGAATACTTTGACTCTAAAGGGTTTTTTTGTTTTGTTTTGTTTTGTTTTTTTTGAGACGGAGTTTCGCTCTTGTTACCCAGGCTGGAGTGCAATGGCGCGATCTCGGCTCACCGCAACCTCCGCCCCCTGGGTTCAAGCAATTCTCCTGCCTCAGCCTCCTGAGTAGCTGGGATTACAGGCACACGCCACCATGCCCAGCTAATTTTTTGTATTTTTAGTAGAGACGGGGTTTCACCATGTTGACCAGGATGGTCTCGATCTCTCGACCTCGTGATCCACCCGCCTCGGCCTCCCAAAGTGCTGGGATTACAGGCTTGAGCCACCGCGCCCGGCCTCTAAAGGGTTTTAAAGACACCTCAGCTCCAACAGGGCAGGTGGGAATAGAAGTTGTCTAGATCCAAAATCCACACTCCTTACCATAGCCCGCAAGACCCATGATCAGACCTGTGCCCACCTCGCTGACCTTCTCATCTTGTACTTCTTTGCCCCTTGCTCTCTCTGTCTCAGCTAGCCTTTGTTCTGCCTGGAACACGCCTGGCTCTTCTGTCTCAGGGCTTTCCCCGGGCTCTTGTCTCTGCCTGGAATGCTCTTCTCACAGATCCCCCCTTCTCTTGGGTCCAACATCTGTCCTCAGAGGGGTCTTTCCTGGACCCTCACTACAGTTGGCCTCCTCTGCTTGTTCCTGTCATTTCCCGTCTTTGCTCTGCGGCACATCACTTCTGAGATTTTCTCTGTTACTTATTTCGTTGCTTTTTTATCGTCTGTCTCCCTAACTTGAGATAAGCTCTGAGAGCACGGGAACCTTATCAGCCTTGCCCACTGCTGTATGCCCAGTGCCTGGTGCATAACAGGCAGCTCAGTAAACATCAGGTGAATAAATGAATGAATGAATCCTCTAGCAACTCCCTGGGGCAGCTCATCCCTTGGTCCTCAGGCCAGCCCAGCCTTTTACTGACTCATATCCAACTCAGCTCTGGTCATGAGTGTGGTTTCACCCAGTCCTTGGTCTCTTCCTGGAAGTTCTGGTCCCTGCTCCCTTGGTACGTAGTTCTGCTCTGTCTCCCCACCATACAACCCAGCTGCTTGCTCTCCTTGCCCTCTCTAGCTTCTCCTCCTCTGCTTTATTGTAAATCCTTGGCTGCCTCTCCTGAGGCCTGTGCAACCTCTGCTTCCTCAACTGTAGGTCCCTTGTCCCCCAGTTTCCTGCCATGGCTCTCTACTGCCTCCTCATGGCACTGAGTTGTATCACCCTGCCCTTTGCCCAGCTGCAGCTGTTGATTGCACACTGATCAGAAGTGTTTGTTAAACAGCCCTGTCTCAGCCCTGCTGGCCAAAGAGCTCAGGACACTGACCTCATTCCTCCCCTGTCTTCCCACAGGTACGTCTCCTGTGCACTTGGCTGCCCTTATGAAGGGAAGATCTCCCCGGCTAAAGTAGCTGAGGTGTGTGCACATGTCAGGATGGGGGGTTTGGTGAGGGTTGGCCACCTTGTCTGCCCCACCTTTTCCTGGAGGTTCCTGATTTCATTCATTCACTCAGCTCCTTCAGTAAGCGCCCCATCCCGTGTGAGCACAGCCCTGCCCCTGCTCCCTGGAGGCACCCCTCCTAGCCAGACATGTAGTCCTTGAAGTCCCTGGCCTCTACCTCAGCCTGAAAACCTCCAATTCAGTTTCCAGTCTGGTAATTGAGGTGATCTTCTGAGGAGGGGCTCCTTACCCAGGGGTTCCCACAGCTCCTTGCAGTGATTGAAAGGCCACAACCCTGACGCCCTCTCAACAGTCACTAGGTCAATGCTGAGAAGAACAAAGTACAGGAATTGTGTCTGACCAGCCAAGAACTTAAGTCATTTAGTCTCCAAAACCACTGTACAAATTTGGTATTATAATTCCGTTTTACAGTTGAGGAAACTGACTGAATGATTTGCCATAGAGGTTACAAATGCTGAAATCAGGTCTCAAACCTCATTTTGTCTCCATCCAAAGCCCACTTCTTCCCAGGACACTTGGTGGCATCCAGATAGGGGGAATGGTAACAGTAGCAACTGTTCCTTGAGAGCAGCTGCCCTGCTCCAGGTCTTAGGCTTAGTTGCTACCAGTCCTCTCCATATGACCAAAGGGTCATCACCATTTTTCAGAAGCAGAAATTGAAGCCCAGAAAAGTTAAGTTCCTTGCCAAGGCCTACAGCTAGTGAGCAGCAGAACTAGGACTTTAACCCAGCACCTCATTGTTTCAAAGACTCTCTCCTTCCCCTGCACCCTGCTGCCTCCTAAAGGCCAGCCACTCCCGCCTCACTCTCTGCAGGGCTATTGTGGGCAGTGACATCACTATTTCATTTATCTAGCGGATCACTGGTGTCTTCTGGTCCCCTAACCCCGCCACATCCCACGGCACCCTGTCCAGCAGCCCCGTGCCAGCAGCAGCTCCTTGGGTGAGGCGCATACTGCTCCCATTTTGCAGTAGTATTAGAGGCGTGCAAATGGGCTCCTAAAAATTTAAATAGTGATGTGTCTCTATTAAAAATAATATAACCATTGGCTGGGTGCGGTGGCTCACGCCTGTAATCCCAGCACTTTGGGAGGCTGAATCGCGTGAATCACCTGAGGTCAGTAGTTCAAGACCAGCCTGGCCAACATGGCGAAACCACGTCTCTACTAAAAATACAAAAAATTAGCGGGGCATGGTGGCAGGTACCTATAATCCCAGCTACTTGGGAGGCTGAGACAGGAGACTCTCTTGAAAACAGGAGGCAGAGGTTTCAGTGAGCTGAGATCGCACTACTACACTCCAGCCTGGGCGACAGAGCAAGACTCCATCTCAAAAAAAAATATATAGTTTATATATTATATATTATAACTATTATTAATTTTTTTTTAAACGAGGTTTCACCATGTTGGTCAGGCTGGTCTTGAACTCCCAACCTCAGGTGATCCGCCCACCTTGGCCTCCAAAATGCTTGGATTACAGGCATGAGCCACCACGCCTGGCCTTATATATTATAACTATTATCCGAGCATGGTGGCACACTCCTCTGGTCTCAGCTGCTTGGGAGGCTGAGGTGGGAGGATTGCTTGAGCCTGAGAGGCTGAGGTTGTAGTGAGCTGAGATCACACCACTGCACTCCAGCCTGTGACAGTGAGACCCTGTCTCAAAAAAAAGAAAAAAAATATATATAACTAGCATCTCAGACTCCTAATTTCATGGATTTTATTGCTGAGGATAAAATTACATGAAAGGAATGAACTTCACTGATTCCAGCATCTGGGTCTGCCAGTCTGATGTGACAGTGGCAAGTGAAGGACTGAAGTCTGAGGGACACAGGCAGGGAAGAAAGAACAGGGGTTGGAGCCTTGGGACTGTGAGCTGGCTCCAGTGGCTGGCTCTGCCCCTTAAGCCTCAGCCTCCTGATCGTAGAATAAGGATCGTCATTCCCAGTCGGAGTTGTGAGGAGCACGTGATCCTGTGGGAATTGAGTACTTCAGACCCAGAAGTGTTCTGTCCAGGCACAGGCCTCCTGCTTCTGAGTGCTTGGATCCCCTGGCTCATGGATACTGTATCCTCCAAGTTCCTGCTTGCTTCCCTAGGTCACCAAGAAGTTGTACTCAATGGGCTGCTATGAGATCTCCCTGGGGGACACCACTGGTGTGGGCACCCCAGGGATCATGAAAGACATGCTGTCTGCTGTCATGCAGGAAGTGCCTCCGGCTGCCCTGGCTGTCCACTGCCATGACACCTATGGCCAAGCCCTGGCCAACACCTTGATGGCCCTGCAGGTAATCAAAGGCATATGCTCATTCTCCCAAAGGTGGTAGTGGGCAGGACAGCTTGTTATCATTTATTCTCTCAGCAAACATTTACTGATGCCAGTATGCCAGGCCCTGGGCTGGCAATGGTGGACACAGTCGTCGTGATCCCCAGACGTGAAGCGTACACCTCTGTTGGGGAGACAGTCAAGGGAGTTCCATGGTGATCCGACTGCATTACGACAGATGCCAGGAAGGAAAGAAGCACAGGGCTTAGGAGCCTAGAGGGGCCCCAGCCCAGCTGAGGACATCAGGGAGGATATGCAGAAGAGCCCTGAGCGAAGCTCGAAGGACATGAAGTAAGCCGCTGGCAAGGAAGAGCGGAAGGTGACTGGGCAGGACTGTACCTTGGGACTGACGGGGTTCAGGGAGGACTCACAACATACAGGGCTGTGAGTGTGCGTGTGTGTGTAGCGGAGGCAGGTGAGGAGACAGGAGGTACAGAGGCCAGCAGAGGTCACTCAGAGGGAGAGGCTGGAATGCCGTTCCCCACAGACTGAGCTGAGACCTCAGATTTGGTTTCCCTTGAGGTTTGCTTGTTGTGGGCTGGCCCAGAATGGGGATCCACTGGCTGGCAGCCAGATAGAAGGAGTATTGTTAGTGTCTGACCTTGCTGTAGCACTGACCTAACCCTCCATCTCTAGGATAGTGATGGCAGTCCCAGCCACCTTTTTTTCCTCTCCGTTATCCCCTAGAGGTTCATGTCTGAATCAGGTGAGTCTGTTACATTCTGGGCCTGTTTCCTCAGAGTTGTGGCTGTCAAGGTTAAGGTTGGTAGCTCTGTGGTCCCCTCATTTCTCGGCTACTGTGACACCCTGCCCTGCTTCTGGGCTTTCCTTCAGCCCATGCGTTTCCAGGCCAGGCAGGTAGGGGGAGTGACTTCCTCTCCATGGCTTGCCAGGCAGGTAAAGAGGATTTCTGCACAGCGGAGGTGAGTCTGAGGCAAAACTTCATCCTGCCATGCTCAGGACACTCCTGCCCCTGTGTGCTTCTCTGTTTCATGGCACCTGATGTCTCAGAATCCCCTTTTTGAAAATTTATGAGGCAACAGGTTGAGCTATGTGAGGTCTGGCAGTAGCTGCCTCTGACCTCCCTCTTGCATCAGTTATTTGAGAAATATGGATCAATGTGCCAGGTTAAGTGCTGACTTAGATGACAGCAACAAGACCCAGTCCCTGCCGTCTGGGAGCTCATGTCATGGTTGGTGGGGAATTCGGATGGAAGATTACAGGTGTGTAAATAACAAATTGTAAGACCATTTATTCACCTGTTAAAACCTAACTCCTTCTGTGTGCCAGGCTCTGCTCTCAGCATTGAGGAGTCAGCTGTGACCAAAACAGGGTCCCTGATCTCATGAGGCTGACAGTCTAGTAAGATGAGACAGATAATAAATAAGCATATGGCAGGCAGGTGCTCATAAGCACTGTGGAGAAAAGTGAAGCAGGTTAAGGGAAGGGCCAGGTCTTTCTGTAGAGTGGTCTCACTCAGAAGGTAGCATCTGAGAGAGAGATCTGTAGACCCCTAGCAGGGAGGGAAAGAGAGGGGAGCCCCATCCAGGAAAGCAGGCGCAGAGCCCTGTGGGAAGAGGAACATGAGGAGGCATGTGGCAGGAGCAGTGTGACTGAGGAGAGGGGCAGAGATGTCAGGGTTAGAAGGCCATATCTGGTGGGGCCTTGTAGAACTTTGACTCTTTTAGACTGAGCTGGGAAGCTAACAGAGAGTTTTTAGCAGGGGCAGGGAGGGAGATAATCTGAAATGTTCCCTTTAAGAGGCTCCTTAACTGGGCACGGTGGCTCACACCTGTAATCCCAGCACTTTGGGAGGCCGAGGCACATGGATCACTTGAGGTCTGGAGTTCGAGACCAGCCTGGCCAACATGGTGAAACCCTGTCTCTACTAAAAAATTAGCCAGGCATAGTGGCGGGGGAATAGCTGTAATCCCAGCTACTCGGGCGGCTGAGGCATAAGAATTGCTTGAACCTGAGAGGCAGAGGTTGCAATGAGCCAAAATCATGCCACTACACTCTAGCCTGGGCAACAGAGCAAGACTCCTTTCAAAAAAAAAAAAGAGGCTCCTCTGCTCCTCTGGCTGCTTTATAGAGATTACACTGTAGAAAGACAAAGAACCAGTTTGGAGCCTACGGCAATCCAGGTGAGAGATGTGGCAAGGGAGACTGGAGGGCACAGGTGCCTGACTGGATCTCAGGAGTTTGTGTTTTGATCTGTGAAGCTTGAGACATCTATAGGCAGGTATGTTAACCTGGGTGCAGTTACTTGGGAGCGAGTGGAGATGGAGAAGCTGTCTGAGGAGTGAGCAGTAAGGGCTCCAACCTTCAGAGATTAGGGAGGTGAAGAAGAGCCAGCAAAGACTGGATCAAGGCCTCAGGAGAGGCCAGAGCACCTGGAGATGATGCAGAGAGTCAAGTGCAAAGATGAAGACACTTGACCTTTGTACTTAGCTACAAGGAGGCCACCAGTAACTGTGACTAGAGCTGTTTCAGTGGAGGAATTGTGGGGACTCAAACCTGTTTTGAATGGGGTCAAGTGACAATGGCAAATGTTAAGTGGGAACAGCTCTTTTGAGGAACTTGCTTTGAATGGGAGCAAAGAAATGGGAGGTTGGAGGGTCCCAAAAAGAGTTTATAAAAAGATGGGAGAGATCGCAGGCTGCTGTGTGAGGATGGCCCAGTGGAGGCGAGGAACAGGTTGCAGGAGAGAGAGGAGAGACTTAACTGGAGCACATGCTGGAGCAGATGGGAATGGGCGTCTTGCTGAGGTGGAGGGGTTGGCCTTGGCTGGGAGCTCGGGGCCCATCCCAGGCAGCATGAGGGACAGCAGGTCTGTAGGCCCAGATGCAGGCAGGTGGACAGATGAGACGGTGGGAGTCAATGGAGACAGTCTCTTCTGATTCCATCTCTTTCCATAAAGAAGCAGATGAGAATGCGGATGGGGAAGGGGGTGATAGAGGTTTAAGAAGAGAGAAGAAATAAAATAGTCATCTGGGAGAGTAGGAGAGTAGGAACTAATTAATGAACCACAGTAAACAACAGGGGTCTGAAATCTCAGCTTTGGGAGTGGGTTAGGCTGGTGATCAGAAAAGGTCTCCCTGAACAGGTGGCTTTTAGGCTGGAACCTAAAGAGTGAGAGTCCACCAAGAAAGGAAAGATACTGCCGGCAGAGGAAACAGTGTAACACAAACTAAAAGGAGTAAGATAAGGAACAACGGTGACAAGTTTTGTGGAGCTTTTTATACACTTTTTAAAAAAATCTCAAACTTCTATTTTTTTTTTTTTTGAGACGGAGTTTCGCTCTTGTTACCCAGGCTGGAGTGCAATGGCGCGATCTCGGCTCACCGCAACCTCCGCCTCCTGGGTTCAGGCAATTCTCCTGCCTCAGCCTCCTGAGTAGTTGGGATTACAGGCACGTGCCACCATGCCCAGCTAGTTTTTTGTATTTTTACTAGAGACGGGGTTTCACTACGTTGACCAGGATGGTCTCGATCTCTCGACCTCATGATCCACCCGCCTCGGCCTCCCAAAGTGCTGGGATTACAGGCTTGAGCCACCGCGCCCGGCCTCAAACTTGTATTTTTATGTTTAACGTTTTCATTAAAATATTTTTGTAACTGGAGCCACAGCGTAACAAATATGGGGGGAAAACTGTGCCTTGTTTCAACAGTTTTTGCTAATTTTTAGGCTGAAAGATGACAGATACCTAGGGTTTACCTTATGTTTAATTAAAATCCGTTTTCTCTTAAAAAAAAACAACAACAGAAACTAAAAGGAGCAGCACTGTCTGTTTCAGTGGGACTTTTGTGTCCATAGAATCATACACCAAAGGAATGACTCTGGAATTTCAGGCAACAGACTACTGGGAGGTTTGCAAGGCCCAGCTCTGTGGGTTCTTGTTCCCAGTGACAACCGTGTTTCATCATCCTTATGTTTCTAGATGGGAGTGAGTGTCGTGGACTCGTCTGTGGCAGGACTTGGAGGCTGTCCCTATGCACAGGGGGCGTCGGGAAACCTGGCCACCGAGGACCTGGTCTACATGCTGGAGGGCTTAGGCATTCACACGGTAAGCCCGTCCGCCCCCTGCTAGTGACAGCCCTGAACTGACCAGGGCTCAGCCTGAAGCTGAGAACAAAAACGGATGCGGGTATTTGGGGCTGTTAAGGTGCTGAGTAGTAAAGAGGAAAAGGGTTGGCCACACGCAGTGGCTCATGCCTGTCATCTCGGCACTTTGAGAGGCTGAGGCTGGAGGGTCACTTGAGCCCAGGAGTTTGAGGCTGCAGTGAGCTACGATCCTGCCAATGCACTCCAGCCTGGGTGAAAGAGCAAGACCCTGTTTCTTAAAAAAAAAAAAAAAAGAGGAGGGGAAGGGCACTGGGGATTATGGATATTTGATCTAATGTTTGAATGTTTGTGAGAGTAGGGTTGAGTGAGGCCACACCCATGGCCACAGGGAGGCTGGGGTGTCAGGGTGACTTTGATAGTTCAGTCCTAGGAGGCACCACGGAATATGGAAGGGGCCCTGGAAAGGGTCAGGTTCCTGACCTGAAACCAGTCAGTTCTCTCTTGCCCTTTGTTTTATTCTATGTAAAATAAGGACAGTAGCATTAGCTTGCCAGGGATCCTCCAGGGTCCATCAGGGCCCTCAATGGTGAATGGAAGCAGAATAGCATCTGTGCTTGAGGATAAGTTTGAACTGGGTTTAAAGCCAACTCCTGCCACTCACAGGCTATGAGAAGTCAGACACACTATTTCATCTCTCTGAACCTAAGAAATGGGAATAATAATAGCTGTCTCATGGAGCCATTGTGAGGATTAAGTAAGAAAAAGTATGTAGAGGGCCAGGCATGGTGGCTCACACCTGTAATCCCAGCACTTTGGGAAGCCCAGGCAGGTGGATCACCTGAAGCCAAGAGTTCGAGACTAGTCTGGCCAACATAGTGAAACCCTGTCTCTACTAATAATACAAAAATTAGATGGGCATGGTGGCGTACCCCTGTAACCTCAGCTACTTGGGAGGCTGAGACAGGAGAATCACTTGAACCTGGGAGGCAGAGGTTGCAGTGAGCTGAGATCGTACCACTGCACTCCAGCCTGGACAACAAGCAAAACCTCTGTCTCCAAAAAAAAAAAAAAAAAGATGTGGAATGCTTAGCACAGAGCTGAGCATGGAGGGCACATCAGCAGATATGAGCTGCTCTGAACAGAGGGTTTCCGCCTGGCCCTTTCAGTGGTGTTTTTATTCTTCCCTCTCTGCCTTACCATCCTCACTTGAGTATCAGTTTTTTACCTCTGTGGGCCAGGCCCTGTGCTAGGCCCTGAAGAGGGAGCACTGAACAAGACTGATGGGATCTGTGCCCTGGTAGTGGCACTACAAACCATTATACAGACTGGGCATCTTACACAAGGGGGAGTCAGAGGAATAACCCAGGTGCCAGACAGACAGGAGCTCACTGGCAGCTGGTATCCCGCTGTCAAGGGAAAAACCCAGTTGACCTTCACTTTTACTTTTTCAGTATCAACAGTTGTCTGTCCATGCTGATGTTTTCCCTGGTGTTGAGGGCTTACCATGACTTACTGCATCCTCTAACTTATTTCTCAAAGGGTGTGAATCTCCAGAAGCTTCTGGAAGCTGGGAACTTTATCTGTCAAGCCCTGAACAGAAAAACTGGCTCCAAAGTGGCTCAGGCTACCTGTAAACTCTGAGCCCCTTGCCCAACTGAAGCCCTGGGGACGGTGTGGAAATAGGGGCACAAGGCCGGACGAGGTGGCTCATGCCTGTAATCCCAGCACTTTGGGAGGCCGAGGTGGGTGGATCACGAGGTCGGGAGTTCAAGACCAGCCTGGCCAAGATGGTGAAACCCCATCTCTACTAAAAATACAAAAATTAGCTGGGTGTGGTGGTGGACGCCTGTAATCCCGGCTACTCGGGAGGCTGAAGCAGGAGAATTGCGTGAACCCAGGAGGTGGAGGTTGCAGTGAGCCGAGATTACACCACTGCACACCAGCCTGGGAGACAGAGCCAGACTCCATCCCAAAAAAAGAAAAAAAAAAAGAAATAGGGGCACACACAGATGATTCATGGATGGGGACATGGAAATGAGAATGAGGTTAACGGCGCAGGTACATCACAGCCAGCTCTACACAGAGGTCTCTCCTGGCAGAAAGCAGGCGAGGGGCAGGAGGAGCTGCTTGGCCTCAGGCCCTCCTGCCAGACCTGAGTAGGAGCAAGAGGCTTTGAGGGCTGAAGTCTCCCTTCATCACAGACCCTGGCCCAGAAGTTGAATGCCCGAGGGCATGTGGAAACCCCATTCCCTACTTGGCATGATCCTGGAGTCTCCTCTCTGGATGGAATCTGCAAGCTGGCCACCTCTACACAGCTCCACCCTGGCATGCCCTTGGGGCCATTGTACTCTGACTTCTCAGGACACAGGTCCTGGAGGTCCTTCCCAAGCTGGCAGAGGCCATTTGCACAAAGTGGAGAGCTTCTGCCAACTCCAGCATCTCTGGAAAATCTCCACGCTGAATGTGATTCTTGAAAACAACTTATGTAATTAAAGGTTGAATGGCACAGAATCATTCCAGCATTCGGTTGTGCAGCTGTGTGTATACATGAGTCTGGAGGCGGAAAATACTTTACCATGTTGCACTCTGGGAGGAAAATGGAGACTATGAACTAGCTTATTAATCTTTGTATTTCCTCCCTGTTTCCTCACCTCGGCCCCAAATCCAAGTGACTGGAATTCAGTGGCTTATTCAGGAGGCTGCCTGCAACAGTTTGCTGTCCAGACCACCCGGCAGGGTTGTTTCTGACCTTTGCCTCTGACCGGGGCTGTTGCACAAACTCCCCTGCTTTGGGCCTCGGCTGCCCAGTCACTCCCTGGCTCTCACAGGCCCGGGAGCTCTCATCTGTGGGTGCCCGGGGCTCTGCTGGCAGGCGCTGATTCCCGGCCGCGGGGAACACTTGCGTGCTCGTGCATTTAGGGCCCATTTGCTCTGGTTTCATCACGCGGTACGTCACATTTGGTGCATATTATTCTCTAGCCCTACCACTTTTCATTGTAAACAATCACTTTCTAACCTGCCGTCGTGGCAGGCAGAGTGCAGGCAGTCCATTCCGGGCAGGTGGGGGCCGCGGGCGCTGGAACCTCTCGTGTGGCCTGACAGCTTCCTCCAGCTCCTTGCTTTATTTGCAAACTGGACCACGGACCCGAGACCCCGCTCCTGCCTTAGTCCCGCGGGATTGGGAAGTTCAAGACTTTGAATTCAGGCACCAGCAAGTTTGAAAACCTGCGGGTCAGAGCGGGGCGCAGGCGCGGGCCCCCTACCCTCTGTCCCCTGCCCCCTCGGAAGCGCGGCGCTGCTTCCAGGAGTTGGGACGAGCTGGCGCGAGGACCCGGGGCGCCAGCAGGAACCGCCCGCTTCGGGGACCCGGCGCCAGCGTCGTCCCTCGCGGGGTAACACCGCCCACTTCCGCCCTCAGCGGGCGCGCGCCGCACAATCGCCGTCGCAGCGCGCAGGCCTTTTGTCCTTCCGTCGTCCCCGTAGTGGCCGTAACCCGAGTGACACGTTTCCTTGGGGGCGTGGAGGGGCGGGGCGGGATGGACCGTCAGTGCTTAAAGGGCCCGCCACTCGGGCGCGGGAGGCGGTGCCTCTGGAGCCAGCGCGGGGCGCGGCAACCCGAGCAGGTTGGGAAGGCGGAATGAAGGGCCGGGTGGGCTCGCCGGGGGCCGGGGAGTCCGTGGGTAGCGAGGGAATTTCCGACGGGCCGGGTCGCGTTGCAGGCAGCGTCCCTCCGTCCCAGTTCCCCGCTTCCTGGGCTGGGGCGGCTGGGGTTCATTCATTCCCGGCCTGGGGACTCCTAGCTCAGTCCCGCTCCGCGCCACAGCCCAACGCCCAGCCTGAGACCCAGCCGCCCTCGAGTGCTCGGGGCCCAGCGCCTCTTCCCTCCAGCAGACAGACTGGGAAAACCGAGGGGGCGACGGCTGAGCAAGGTCACTTCGCGGGTCCGGGGCGCAGCCGGCCTCAGACCAGCTTTCCTGCCTCCAGGGCCTCTCTGCGACCTACCTTAGGGGTCCGCGCCGGGCGCGAGCCGAGGGTGGGGACGGCTTCGGCGCGGCGGGCAGAGTCCAGCAGGGAGTGGTGGGGGAAGGGCGAGCCGTCTTGGGAGGGGGGCGGGCTGCGAGCTTGGCGATCCGGATTCCAGCCCGCTGTCGCCAGCTGTGGGACTGAAGGCAAACTGCTTCGCTTCTGTGAGCCTAGTATCTTCATCTGTAAAGGGCCAGTGATAACACCTGCCTCACCGAGATGCTGGGGGAATTCAGGAAAATCATGCAGAAGTGCCTGGGACGGAGCCTGGCACGCAGAACACTATTGGTCCAGTGGGTTGGAGCTGCGTGAGCCCAGAAGGGAACAGAGTCAGCCTGGAGGAAGGCGGCAGCGGGCTCGGACCCTGGGAATGAAAGGCCTCAGTGTCTGGGGCTTCCTCCCCGTCCCGCCCTTTCTGCCCGCAGAGTTTGTTCAGGGTGGAGGTGCGCACCTGGCAAAGTCCACGTCTACACGGCCCACCCAGGGCGGCCTGGAGTTGGGCGGGATCCTTAACTGCGAGCCAGGAGTGACCGGGCTGGCCCTGGCATGGGCAGAGGCTGAGCCTACCTGGCAAAAGACCTCACCCTTGAGGCCATGTGATCTATTTCCTGCTTCCTCCCAGCTGGCCCTTGAGGAAAAGCGGGTGGGGGCTGCCTGGAGCAGGAGGTATTAATCACTGAGCCCAGGAGCCAGTTTACACCTACCCATGGCAGAGGCATTGGGCAGGCCTGGGTCTGAGCCGACAGAACCCCTTCTGGGACCCTGGAGTCCCAATCCTGCTGCCATTTTCCTTCTGCCCAGGACTCTGCAGTCCTCAGTGACTTTGGAGAAGGAAGTGTGGATCCTCAGATTCCATCTTTCCAACCCCAAGACAAATGGAACTAGAAAACAAGGTGCCTGTGTATCAGTCTCCCCAGCTCTGCTGTGGCAGGCCCTTAAGGTCACCTCATTGAACCCCCTCACTGCCTCATGATGTTTATACAATTATTAGCAAGCCTCAGGCCAGAAAGTAATGGTATCCAGACTTGCCCCAGGGCTGACTTCTGAGCCATCCTGGTATCTAGGGCACACTGCCTTCTTTCAGAGTGAGCTTAGAGGGCCAGATTCCAGGGAGAAGGAAGCGCTAAGCCAGCAGCCTCAGCCACCTCTGAGACTCTGTATCCTGGGCCAGGTGCCATGGCAGAGAAGGTGCTGGTAACAGGTGGGGCTGGCTACATCGGCAGCCACACGGTGCTGGAGCTGCTGGAGGCTGGCTACTCGCCTGTGGTCATCGACAACTTCCATAACGCCTTTCGTGGTGAGCAGCAGTGGGGCTGGGGCTTCTCGAGGGGATGGTAGAAGCAAAACCCTGGGTTCCACTTTGACCACCGAGTGGGGGATGTGGGTCTGGCTTGTCCCTGGGAACACAGCACGCCCCTTCATGACGATGTGGCCTACATGTGCCCCCCCAGGAGGGGGCTCCATGCCTGAGAGCCTGCGGCGGGTCCAGGAGCTGACAGGCCGCGCTGTGGAGTTTGAGGAGATGGACATTTTGGACCAGGCAGCCCTACAGCGTCTCTTCAAAAAGGTGGGTGCCCATGCCTGTGGTCCCAGCTACTCAGGAGGCTGGTATAGGAAGATGGCTTCCGGGAGTTGGAGGTTGCAGTGAGCTGAGATGGCATCACTGCACTCCAGCTTGGGCATCGGAGCGAGCTGTCAAGAAAAAAAAAGTGGGTGCAGGCAGGTAGGCCAGGGGCATTGCCAAGGACTAAGGCCAGTAGAGCAACCTCTGACCATGTTACCCCTGCAGCACAGCTTTGTGGCGGTCATCCACTTTGCGGGGCTCAAGGCTGTGGGCGAGTCGGTGCAGAAGCCTCTGGATTATTACAGAGTTAACCTGACTGGGACCATCCAGCTTCTGGAGGTGAGAGGCATGGGGCAAGGCATGGACACTACAAGGGTGTCCAGCTGGGCCCCAGCCTGGGAGGCAGTGCCAAACACAGAGCCCAAGCTGTTATCCTGGACGCATATCTTTACCTCCCAGCCTCAGTTTCCCCATCTGTAAATGAGAGTGCCCATAACCTCAGCCCCATCCTCCTGTGGAAGAGTAATAGGGTGGGAGTAATGTGTGAGGCAGAGACCACTGATGCCACCTCTCCATGGCCAGATCATGAGGGCCCATGGGGTGAAGAACCTCGTGTTCAGCAGCTCAGCCACTGTGTATGGAAACCCCAAGTACCTGCCCCTGGACGAGGCCCACCCCACGGGTGGCTGTACCAACCCTTATGGCAAGTCCAAGTTCTTCATCGAGGAAATGATCCGGGACCTGTGCCAGGCAGACAAGGTGAGAACCCCCTTGACTGCACCCTGGCTTCACTGACAGACTCCTCAGGGCCCACCATGAGCCCAAGAGTGGGATTCTGAACCCCCCACTATGGAGGAAGCTAAGCTCAGGCAGTCGCAGTAGAGGGCCCCACCCCTGCTTGTTTCTAGAGATAATGAGTAGGTAACTGGCTGGGCATGGTCGCTCACGCCTGTAATCTCAGCACTTTGGGAGGCCAAGGCGGGCAGATTACCTAAGGTGAGGAGTTCAAGACCAGCCTGGCCAACATGGTGAAACCCTGTCTCTACTAAAAATACAAAAACTAGCCTGGCACGGTGGTACGCGCCTGTAATCCCAGCTACTCAGGCATGGTGGTGAGGCCTAGTCCCAGCTATTCAGAGGCTGAGGCACAAGAATTGCTTGAACCTGGAAGGCGGAGGCTGCAGTGAGCCAAATCAGGCCACTACACTCCAGCCTGGGCCATAGTGAGACTCCATCTCGGCAAAGCAAATTGGCATGGGGGTGCGGAAGAGGGCTCTGGGTTCAGCTGGGACGTACTGCCTGCACTTCTGGCCTCACTGCCTGACCTACATCCCACAGACCTGGAACGCAGTGCTGCTGCGCTATTTCAACCCCACAGGTGCCCATGCCTCTGGCTGCATCGGTGAGGATCCCCAGGGCATCCCCAACAACCTCATGCCTTATGTCTCCCAGGTAATGCAGAAGGGAAGGGACAGAGGAGTGGCCCTAGGGTTACAGCTGGTGCCTGGGACCTGGGAGGAACTGACCTGATCTCCACCTCCAGGTGGCGATCGGGCGACGGGAGGCCCTGAATGTCTTTGGCAATGACTATGACACAGAGGATGGCACGGGTGAGCCAAGGACTAGGGGACCTAGGAGTGGGAGCCAGGAGGGAGAGTCAGGGGAAACAAACTCCCATCCCCGCCTCCTCCTCCGCAGGTGTCCGGGATTACATCCATGTCGTGGATCTGGCCAAGGGCCACATTGCAGCCTTGAGGAAGCTGAAGGAGCAGTGTGGCTGCCGGGTAGGAAGAGAAGGGAGAAGTGAAGGAGGGGAGGGGGCAGATCCAGGCAGAGGGGCCCAGAGCGGTGGTTAGTGCAGCCCCTTCCATAAACCCTGTTCTCCGCGGGGCAGATCTACAACCTGGGCACGGGCACAGGCTATTCAGTGCTGCAGATGGTCCAAGCTATGGAGAAGGCGTCTGGGAAGAAGGTAGGCCCCCACCCCACCCCACCCACCTCACGCCACCCAGCTCTCAGCACCAGAGCAGCTTTGGCCCTTCCCACTTGCTGTCTGGTGGGCACCTGCTACTGCCCAGTCTCCTGACCCTGCCTAGCACCCAGCACCAGGTGCCTGTGGGCAAGCACTGCTCTGTTCTTAAAAGTCCTGCTCAACTAAGCTCCAACTACCTCCTGTCTTGCAGATCCCATACAAGGTGGTGGCACGGCGGGAAGGTGATGTGGCAGCCTGTTATGCCAACCCCAGCCTGGCCCACGAGGAGCTGGGGTGGACAGCAGCCTTAGGGCTGGACAGGATGTGTGAGTGCTGGCCTGACCCCTACAGAGTTAGGGGCCAGGGAAGGGCTGATCAGATCTAGGCTCACCTACCCAGGGTGGGCTGTGAGGTTGGGGGAGGCTCTGCATTCCACCATGGGCCCTGAGCACACACCTCACGTGTTGCAGGTGAAGACCTCTGGCGCTGGCAAAAGCAGAATCCTTCAGGCTTTGGCGCACAGGCCTGAGGACCCTCTCCTACCCAGGACCAGGAAAAGAGAAGCAGCTGCCGGCTCTCCAGCCTTTGGCAGGAACCCAGGGCCCTGGAGCTGCTGGGGCCACGCCAAGGCCTCCCCTACCTCAAACCCCAGCTGGGCCCGCTCAGCCTACCAGGCATGAGGCCAAGGGCTCCACCGACCAGGAGGCTGAGGTCTCCAACTCTTATCTTCTGCAGGGTCCAGGAGTTCATCAGGACCACCAAGAGCGAGTGACCGGGCAAGGCTCTGGAACAAAACCTCCTAGGCACTCATTTATACTGCTCTGAAAGAGCTTTCCAAAGTATTTAAAAATAAAAAGTTTTCTTACACTGAGGCAGGTTCTCACAGATGGTCACTATCTACCCCTGGAATAGAATCAGCCAGGCCTGAGCACTGAGGAAGCAATTTCTTTAATTTTATCGGAATCCAGGACACAACAAGAAAAACACCCAAAACCACATGGAGACAGAAGACGAGACACAACTCTTCCCCCAATACCTCCCTGCTCTAGAGTTGGGACAAAGTGGGGGTGAGACAGCTGGGGGGAGACCTGAACCCCAGTCCAGCCCTGCGGGCTCTGGGCCTGCAGGGAAGGAGGGTAACGGGAGGCAGGGCCCAGCCCCCCAGTTGGGGGAAACAGCTGAGGGAAGGCCCCCCTCAAAAGGCTCCACCTCCTCACCAGCACTCCAGCCCAGGGACAGGGAGCCCACAGCAGCAAGGGGGCCCCAGGGCCATGGCCACATTCAGGACTGAGAAGCAGCTGGAGTGGAGGCAGGAGAGAGACGATTATCTGGGCAGGATCAGTTGGGGCAGGGGCCTGGGAGGGCCCCATGGGCCAAACCCTGAGGTCACAGGAGGGGGCCCAAAGTGGGGCTAGTGAGTGAGGTCCTGAGTGAGTGGGTCAGCGGCTGGGCCCCTTTCTCCAGCTGCCTGTAGCCCCTCCAATACTGCTGCCAGGGGGGCCCACCTCCAGGGAAATGGGGTAAGAAAGCAGCCCGCCCCTGCTGCAGAGAGCCAGGTGGCTGAGGCCAGGAAGCAATGCCCGGCCAGGCCTCGCCACCTGCCCCAGAGGCCTGTGGGAAAAGGACAGGTCAGGAAGGGTGGGGACAGGGGCTCGACCGGCTCAGATCCAAGATGGTGCCACGCTTGCTTGCTGGGTCCCCCATGAGCTGGGAGACCACACTGAGGCCAGCAACTAGTTAGACAGGAGGCAGCAGCTTCTCAAGAAATTCCTTCACAGCTGCCATCTCCTGAGGGGATTAAGAGGGGATCACAAGAGGCTCCTGGCTGGAGGCAGAGAGGTGGGAGTGGGAAATGGTCCCCCCACTGACCTGAGGACAGGAGCTGTGCATGACACCGGGGTACGTCTTGAACTGGACCCTGGCAGGTGTGACAACAGACCGGAGCTTTTCAGCGGTCAGGGCCCCAAACCGTACGGGCACCATGGGGTCCAGCTCCCCGTGGCACTGGAGGATGGCCAGGTCCTTGGCACTGCCATTAGCTGCCTGGGGGCCAGACAGGACTCAGGGCAAAGCCAGTGCTGCAGCAGTCCCCAAGCCACGAGGATGCAGACACAAAGGTAGGGGGTGGGGGGAGGTCAGTGGGGACATTCACCTGAGGGAAGGCCCGGTGTAGAGGCAGCCAGCAGCTCAATGCCACGATGCCAGCCAGAGGGTGGGGGCAGGTGAGGGCTGTGTAAAGGGACAGGGCCCCACCCTGGAGGGAGGAGAGAGAGGGGGGTCATGAGGGCACAGCTCATCCACCTGCCACCCCTGCCCCCCACCCCTCTCCCCTCACCTGTGAAAAGCCGCCCAGGACGATTCGATTGGCAGGGATCCCATTCTTCATTTCATGCTCAATCAAGGCCTTGACTGGGGGGGAGGGGGCATGATTGGGTTGGGGGAAGTTGCCAAGGGGCCCAAGAAGGGAGCCAGGTGGAGGAACCATCCAGCGCTTTCCTGGGGGGCAGGGGAAGGAGGATGTGGAGCAGGGCCTAGGGTCTTACTGTTCTCTGCTGCCTTCTTGATGCCAGCCTCGTCCTCTGGGGCATCTGGACTCAGCCCCATCAGGTCAAACCTGGGGAGTAGAGGTATTAGCAGCTACAGAAAACCCTGGCCAGCACCCTGTAGTTCCCTCAGCTCGTGTCCTTGTTCCCCTGCCCACCACCTACTCCCAAACTCACCAGGAGGGCATCACCATCTTCATGTTGAGGGTCACGGGGATCCTAGGCCTGGGGAGGGACAGCCAGAGGGCCCATCATACTCAGGGATGAGGAAGACGCAGCCCAGAGCCCAGAGTGGGGCTGTGCCTCCCCTGGGGGCCCCTCCCAGCAGGCAGGGCCTGTGTTTAAGGTGTTGCCAGGCAACCTGCCACGTGGGGCTGGAGGCTGTGGTTAGGGCAAAGCGCCAGCGATGGAGAAGCAGGGCCCAGCTCTTGGTGTGATGGGGTCCCAGGCAGTCGGTGAGTACTCGGGGAAGGGGCAAAGGGAGGTGTGGGTCTAGGACAGGCGTCCCCAAACTTTTTACACAGGGGGCCAGTTCACTGTCCCTCAGACCGTTGGAGGGCCGCCACATACTGTGCTCCTCTCACTGACCACCAATGAAAGAGGTGCCCCTTCCTGAAGTATGGCGGCCGGATAAATGGCCTCAGGGGGCCGCATGCGGCCCGTCGGCTGTAGTTTGGGGACACCTGGTCTAGGAGAACTCACGTCTAAAAGGCCTTAGGGCTGGGGGCTGGTGCTGGATGCCACTCCTGGGGGCTCCACAGGAGCTAAGCTTGAAAATGTCACTTCTGACTGCCCTGGGCCCAAGCCCCAGGATGCAGCTGACAGGAGAGAACAGGCCTGGGACAACAGGACCACCCCCAGATGATCCCCAGCTTCAGCCTCTCCCTTGCTGGGGCGACACTCACGCATGGGGACAGATGTACTTGACATGAGGGAGCCGGATGGTGGAGAGGGCGTCAGCCCAGCTGTGCCTGTAGGAGGGACGGGAGAAAAGGCTCTGATGCAGTAGGAAGAGAAGGGGACGGCCGGTCGTAGTGGCTCACACCTGTAATCCCAGCACTTTGGGAGGCCAAAGTGGAAAGATCACCTGAGGTCAGGAGTTCGAGACCAGCCTGGCCAACATGGAGAAATCCCGTCCCTACTAAAAATACAAAAAAATTAGCTGGGCATGGTGGCAGTCGCGTGTAATCCCAGCTTCTTGGGAAGCTGAGGCAAGAGAATTGCTTAAACCCAGGAGTCGAGGTTGCAGTGAGCCGAGACTGCATCAGTACACTCCAGCCTGGGCAACAGAGCGGGATTCTGTCTCAAAAAAAGAAAAAAAAAGGAAGGGAAGGGGACGTGCAGGCCTCTTGGTCCGCAGCTGGACCCAGGCGCCCTCCCTAAGGAACACCCCTCCCCAGTCACTTACCCTGTGTCTCCAAGTCCATGTAAAAAAATGACCTGGAAAAGGATGGGACATGGGGAGACACGAAGGTTCCCCCTAGGTCCACCAACTTCTGCCCACCCCTCTCCCACCCCTAGGACCTGGGGGGAACCCAGGTAGGAGCCAAACAGTTCACTACTCCAAGCCTCTTGACCTCGGGATACTGCCTGTTCATCACCGCCACCTCCATTTTCCCACACCCGCTCCAGCCGGTCCTCCAGCTGCCCCCGGTGGGTCTGGCCATGGATGAAAGAGGATCCTTACCGCGGCCGTTTCCCGCTCAGCTCCAGACACGGTGGCAGCATCGGTGAGCAGGGGCACAGACATGGTGTTACCACACATACACCACACGGCTCCACGGCGGGGGCCTGCACACATCGGGGATGGCGGTCAAGAGCAAAACCAGGCATAGGACACACTCCTGGCCCAAGGGGCCACCAGGCCATTAGCCCCACACAGCACCCAGGTTCTGTCCTGGGCACAAAGAATAGTCAGGCAAGAAGTCCCAGGGCACAGGGGAAGTCTGCCTCCATCCACTCCAGGGCTGAAAGGCAGAGGAAGCCACCCTAGTGGCCCAGAAGGTGTGTCTGGTTCTGGCCCAACACAGGACCTGAGTTTGCTGGAGAGAGGCAGGGCATAGGGACTGCAGGGCAGGGGGTTAGGGGAGGCAGCCACACCCCTGCTTCGTCCCCCCTCTAACTCCTCTGGGGTCAGTGCCTTCTCACTGCTCTCCAGTCATTCCTGGATCCCTGCCTCCCCAAATCCCAGCCCTATAGGAAATGGAGAGAAAAATGCCAGGCAAGGAAATGAGCTTCCAGACCCTACTCACTGCCGCCCCCGGCCCCCATCTCAACCTCCCCCACCCAGCCCCATTCGGCCTCCATGCAGTTTCTTCTGGCTCATCCATTCCCAGAACTCTGGGGGGCTGCCCATGTCCCCAGAGAGCATAAGAACTCCTGTCTGCCACCCACCCCCAAACTGGTGTTCCACACCCTCCTAAACAGAGCTACCTGCTGCAGCGGCCACTGACTGCAAACGGGCCCGGCCTGACCACGCTCTGGGACTCCCAAACACACAAAAGAATGTCAGGCTGGCTGGCCCCTCCCCATCCTCAGCGTCCTCCAAACTCGCCGGAAGCTTCCACTACCTGCCTCCAAGTGCCTGTCCACCCCTCCCAACTGGCCTCACCTTCCATCTCTGACCCCTGAGGGCACCTCCCCACAATGGGATTGTTCACCTGTGATCCGGGGTTCCTCTTCCCACTGGGAATGCACCTCCCGCCCTGAGCTGCGATTCCTCTCCTTCTCCACCGTGGAGACTTGGACCTCCCGCCACGGCTTCCTCCTCAGAGGGGTACCTTCCCCTGACCTGTCTCCCTCTCCACCTTCAGAACTTCCACCCTGACCCGGGATCTCCCGCTCCCCACAATGGGAACTTGTGTTCTGACCAAGGCTCGCCCTCCCCGTTGACATTTTCTACCCTGACCCAGGACTCGCACCTGCCCACAATGGGGCTTTCTATCTTTGACTCTGGGGAAGCCCCCGCCCCACGATGGGCTCTTCCACTTCCAACCCCGAAGTCTGTCTCATTATACCCTGACACCCCCTTGCCCAGCCCCGCTCCACTCCCGAAGTCCCCAAGACAGGACAGCGGCTTCGTACCTCACTCCCCGCCCCCACTCTCCCCCCATCGCCGCTCCCCCTCCCCGCCCTCCAGGACCCTCCAGAAGCCAACGTCCCCCACATGTTCTTCCGCAGCCGCAGGCCGGGTACCTCCACTCTCTGGAGCTTCCGAGGCCGCTTAGGCGATTCTCCTTTCTCCCGCAGACACACACTCTTCCCCCTCGGCCGCCCCCGCCGGAACTTCCGTTCGAGTCCCGGGAACCCAGCCAGCGCGCTGCCGGATGTAGCCTGGCCAACGGTACGGAACCCGGAAGCGGGGACCCAGCTTCGCTGGATAGAAGCTGCCATGTTGGAGGCGGCAGGGCCACTCCCTGTCATTCAGCCGCGCAGTCGCTGGGTTCTCACCCGCTCCCACCTTATAGAATGGAGACAAGGCACCCAAGACTCCCACTTGCTACCACCACCCAGGCGCCTCCTGAAGGAGAGCTGTCCGGAAGAAGAGGCATCCCTCACACTATTGTTCGCAGAAACTTTACCACCTTCCCATCCCCATGCGACATACCTCTTAAGGCCTTGGGTGTCTGCCACTGGCTTTCATGGCCCTATTCCAGGATCATGAATGGAATCACATAGTCTGAACTGAAGAGACCTTACAGATCATCTAGTTCTCCAGCCTTAAAGATGGGGAAACTGAGGCTCAAGGAAGGGAAGTAAATAGCAACCTTGGGGTTCCACTGAAATTCTGCCTCTGGATCTGCTTCCTGGGCTATAAAATGGTAATAACCACCCTGTCTCCTTCATAGCTTTATTGGTAGGCTTAAATGAGGTTATGTGAGCATACTTGATACACTGTAAAGTCACAGCATGAGGTGTTAATCACATAAAACAGGAAGATATGCAAAGGGAAAATATACAAAGGTTGTAGCAGGAGAGGTGGACAGGCACTGGCAGTGTTAGCGCTGCCTCACAAGCAATGCCATGCAGACAGTGCACAAAACGCTGCCATCAAGTTGAAGTGGAAATAGGGATCAGGGACCACAGAAAAGTCAGAGGGGAAGGCAAACATGAGTTGAAGGAGCATCTCCCTGAGAATGTGTACCTCACATTCTACAAGTACAAAATGAGTCACACTTGCTCCTCAGCCACTTAGGACTCATTCTCCCAGCTTAACCTATACTAGTGTTTTCTTTAAACAGAAAGAAAACAGTACAAAGTTGGAAGCACAACGAAGCACTTTCCCCCAGGTCTAGAGGCAATTCGGTCCTAAGTCTCCACAGGTCAAGGAGCCTACAACACCAGGATTCAGGGCAGGAAAACTTTGGGCCTAGGGGACCACCCCAAGCCAAGGACTCAGGACTGAATGTCAAAAGAAAAAGCGGGTAATGTCCCCACTTAGGGAAAAAGGAACACTTCCTCCTGCAACCTCAATCACCTGAGACACCATAGCACTTTCAACAAATTCTTTAGAGCAAAGCTTCTAATTCAGAGGCTCAGTCCCAGGAGCTGTGATTAGTGCTTTAATTAGTGGAATTAGTGAAGGGCTAGTCTGCTCTAAGACTTAAAACTTTATTTTCCCCCTACCCCATATTTAAACATAACCCTTCTTTTAACTCCAAAAAACAATCCAACTGAAATAAAAAGGCTGTGTCTTGAGTGAATAGGACTCTTAGTGCTTTTCAAGAACGCATTTGCATTCTGGTTGATTTGAGATTTGATTTTAGAAATTTTGAGGGCCAACAAGGTTTGGTGGTAGCAGACTTTTCCTAGGACAGGCTGGAGAAACAGTGGCTATATCCTCCTAAAAACAGCATGGGCCAATCCCTCAGAGGAGTTCTCCCAAGAGGATCAGATTCAACACTAATTCCATTTATCAACTGTTCCTGTTTTCTGCAAGGCAGAGAATACTGACCATTTCAAATCCCCTTTTTAGATACTTATATTCTCTCCAATTGCCAAACTGACTTTCAAAATTTAAGTCCAATGTCTTTGGTCCACCTTCAGACCACATGAGCTGCTCAATTACTTTCCTCACTCTCATTTCTTCTGATGAGCTCCAGAATCAGTTCTCCCTTATTTTTGTAAATGTCATTCTACAAATTACTTCCTTTTGTGTAAAATGAAATATAGGTTTTTTGTGGTTTTTTTGAGACAAGGTCTCACTCTGTCACCTCAGGCTGGGGTGCAGTGGCACAGTCATGGCTCACAGTAGTCTCAACCTCCTTGGCTCCAGTGATTCTCCCTCCTCAGCCTCCCAAGTGGCTGGGACTACAGGTGTGTGCCACCATGCTCAGCTAATTTTTGTGAAATACAGGTTTTCAACCCCACCTTCCTCTTTATATGTATGGGTAGGAGTGTTTTTGGTCTACTGTACAAAATTGAGCTTGACCTTTCCTGGAGAAACTGATCCAGCCTTGATTTAATTGTGGCACTTCCTATAATCTACCTAGTCCAAAACAACAACAAAAAATTTCAAAGTTCAGTACAGTTCCCCACGAAATGCAAGTTGCATTAGTTTATCATGAACTCAAAAGAAAGTACAAACATGAAGTCTGGCAAGGATTTATTAGGAAGCTTATTAGTCACAGTGAATAAAAGCCATGAAAAGAGGAACTCAGATCTCCAAATTCTGGCACTGGACTTACAACACTAGTTAGAAGCTAATAAACATTAAGGATGTTCCAAGGGGAATCTTAACTAAGTCTCAATCTTACTGACCAGATTACCCACACACACAGAAATGATCCCCATGCTCTCCCCTGACTGCTTAGCTAGGCAGTGGAAAAGACCTTCTCCCCAATCTTAAGCTATCACGCATCAGCAGGAGATTCCCGCCCTTCTAGCTATAACAGGACACATGTGCATGACAGACAACTCCAAGCTGGGAAACTTGATAAAAATGCTGAACAATGAGAGGGGAAAGGAGCAAGCAGGAACAAGTGTTTCTAGTTGGAGACTCTCCTGCTGGCTAGTACTAACACAATCCTGAGGCATCAGAAAGCTTCCTACAGCCCACAAATAGTTTCCTTTAAAAAAAAAAAAAAAAAAGTCACACAACATTCCTGCCACAAAGCAACATGACACTTGGAATCACATGGCCACATTGACTGGAAAAGCAAGCGTTATCCATGACTGCCAGATGCCACCCAACCCAAGACCCCATTTCCGCAGTGCCCTAGAAAACCACGATTGTTCCCTGGCACCTACACAACCCTCCCAGTGGTGTCGTATCTTCTGTAGGCCAGGTTTCTGCAGCAAGCCCCAAAGACAAAGCTTGGCAGACGCTGTGGCAGCCAACTCTCTCTGGAGCCTAATCCCTTTGTCCTTCCCAACAGGTAGTCGTACATCTTCACTGACATGGCACCTCTATGGGAGCCTTGGCCAGCCCTTAGGAAATAAAGTGTGTCTGTGGGGTAACCTGATGGACCCTATGGTCTGCTGGGTTGGCGGATGCTTCGTAATTGCAGATGGTCACCTCATGACGGCGAAGCTGTGAGAAAATTGAAGGTGCGTCAGCCAGCCATTGAAAGAATTGTTCTTTTCCACACCACACACATTGCTGGAAGTCCTTATTCAGGCTCATTTCTAAAAGTCATCATTTAATACCTCCCGATTTTGATACTTAGAAGTCGTCATCTAGTATCACCCAATTCTGATACTTTTTAACTTCAGAAAGCTGTAAAGATCATTATCAATGATTTACCCTGTAACTGTGAAGATTCAGTTACCCTACTATAATGGCAGAACCATGAGAACAGGAACTTGTCTATTGTATTATCTTATTCCTGGTGCCTCAACAGTAAGATTATCAGAAGTTTTGAAAGAATTTGAAAGTGAAAAACCATGAATTAATATAAATAACAATTTCAGGCCAGGCGCAGTGGCTCACACCTGTAATCCCAGCAGTTTGGGAGGCTGAGACAGGCAGATCACCTGAAGTCAGGAGTTTGAGACCAGCTTGGCCAACATGACAAAACCCCTTCTCTACTAAAAATACAAAAAAATTAGCCAGGCATGGCAGTGGGCGCCTATAATCCCAGCTACTCGGGGGACTGAGGCAGAATTGCTTGAACCCAGGAGGCGGAGGTTGCAGTGAGCCGAGATCTCACCACTGCACTCCAGCCTGGGTGACAGAATGAGACTCTGTCTTCCCAAAAAATATATGACAATTTCAACCTCCTTAAAAATACCTTTTAGTTTGTCAAATGAAAGTGTATACTGATAAAACCAAGAAAAATCATAAACAAACCGGAAGCAATTGTAACATCTGCTCTTTTCCCTTCCCTGGTAGCTCCTATCACCAGTGTGCAGATATGTAGACATGAGGGGACAACTTTCCAACCCCATCTTACCTCAGTCCACTCTCCTCTCAGGCCAATATAAAAGACCTTTGTGGTATCTGCTCCGAAATTTTTTGAAATATGAATCGAGAGATGATAGACATTTGAAAAACGAGAAATTCTAGAGGATGACAGGAATAGGGAAAGAAGATGTAAGTTACAGTTCAATGAGTATCTCACCACCATGTAAAACAACAATTCGGCTCCAACTCATAAAACCCAGGCAAAGTCAGAGAACACCTGGAGTTCTTCCTTCTCCTTTGGACAGGTAATTATTTCAATGACCATTTACTGAGCATCTGCCAGATCCTGTCCAAGGCAATAGGGATAAACACTGCTCCTGCCCTCAAGGAACAGGAACAAGAAATGCTGCATAACCCAGCAGGGATTCTAAAGCACATTTAGTGTTGAACTAAACTAATGGGAGGTACGGCAGTGACATGTAACTCTGCCTGTTGTAAGCTCACTATGCAAAGAGGAATTCTGAAAGCATCTTTACTAAAACCACCCTAGGAGTTCATTCAAACCTGCCAATTGCTTCCAAGTTAACAAGTCTGTGGCTTGCACTGAATCTCTGCCAAAAATTGACCAAGTCAAAGATCAATTCTCTTCCACTGTTTGAACTCATTTCTGATGCTAAGAGAGCAGGAGACTGGCCAAAAATAAATGGCAAGCCATATAAGAAGCCACAGAAAATGGAAGACAGGCCCCATACTTACTTTGTAGCATACTCTAATTCTCCTGTAAGATCCCGGTTCAGACTAAAGGTCTGATCTGGCTCCCTTTCTGTATCATCAAAGGACATCTGTGGAATATTCTTGTACCTAAGAAAGGAAAGGGAAGAAAAGTCAAGAAATGTGCATTATCACATTTCAGGTTTTCAAATATTTCTTTTCTTCTTTTTTTTTTTTCTTTTTTTTTTTTTTTTTTTTTTTTTGAGACGGAGTTTCGCCCTTGTTACCCAGGCTGGAGTGCAATGGCGCGATCTCGGTTCACTGCAACCTCCGCCTCCTGGGCTCAGGCAATTGTCCTGCCTCAGTCTCCTGAGTAGCTGGGATTACAGGCACGTGCCACCATGCCCAGCTAATTTTTTGCACTTTTTAGTAGAGACGGGGTTTCACCATGTTGACCAGGATGGCCTCGATCTCTCGACCTCATGATCCACCCACCTCGGCCTCCCAAAGTGCTGGGATTACAGGCTTGAGCCACCGCGCCTGGCCAGGTTTTCAAATATTTCTACTGACTGCTTAACTGGCTTTGGTTCTATCAATAGGAGATTGAATTTAGGGGTCAAATTTAGAAATGGCATTGTATTGGCACTTATATACAAATATCTCCAATTTTTTTTTTTTTTTTTTTTTTTGAGTCATCCAGGCTGGAGTGCAATGGGTGGCTCACTGCAACCTCCACCTCGCAGGTTCAAGTGACTCTCATGCCTCGGCCTCCCGAGTAGCTGAGTCTACAGGTGCACGCCACCACACCCAGCTAATTTTGGTACTTCTAGGAAAGACAGGGTTTCAACATGTTGGCAGTGCTGGTCTCAAACTCCTGACCTCAGGTGATCCACCCACGTTAGTCTCCCAAAGTGCTGGAATTAAAGGCATGAGCCAACATGCCCAGCCTACAAATATCTTTAATCTAACAAAAAAAGAGCTGAGATCTGCAACATAACTCTGTGACATCTTTGAGTGGGTTAATATCACATGAGAAGCAATACACAAAGAGACGGCTCAAACTAGGTCACATGCAACAAATGCATGGAGAAAATAAATAACTCAGCACATTCAGACCAAACTGAGGATGTTATTAAATAAAACAGCTTACTGATGGGAAAAATATATACTTTGGCAGAAACATACTACACACAGTTAAGAGATAAAAGATCATGTAACCTAATGCTCAAGCATTTTTTATATACTCAGTCACCTTACAGTCCTAAAAAAAAAAAAAAAAAAAAAAAAAAAAAAAAAAAAAACAGTTTGAGGGTTTGCCGGGAGCGGTGGCTCAAGCCTGTAATCCCAGCACTTTGGGAGGCTGAGGCGGGTGGATCACGAGGTCAAGAGATCGAGACCATCCTGGTCAACATGGTGAAACCCCATCTCTACTAAAAATACAAAAAATTAGCTGGGCATGGTGGTGCGTGCCCGTAATCCCAGCTACTCAGGAGGCTGAGGCAGGAGAATTGCCTGAACCCAGGAGGCGGAGGTTGCAATGAGCCGAGATCACGCCACTGCACTCCAGCCTGGGTAACAAGAGCGAAACTCCGTCTCAAAAAAAAAAAAAAAAAAAAAAAAAAAAAACACACAATTTGAGGGTTTCCATTTTGAAAGAACATGAAAGAATGCAACCTCACATCTAAACTGCTAGAGAGGTTGCAGTGAACTGAGATCGTGTCACTGCACTACAGCCTGGGTAACAAAGTGAGACTCCGCCTCAAAATAAATAAAAAGTAAAATGCTAGAGAGGAAAATGTTTTTGAAAGAGTAATCTAGGCTGGGCACGGTGGCTCAAGCCTGTAATCCTAGCACTTTGGGAGGCCGAGGTGGGTGGATCCCAAGGTCAGGAGATCGAGACCATCCTGGCCAACATAGTGAAAATCTCTATTAAAAAAAAAAAAAAAAAGAAGAGCAATCTAAAAAAGTAGATGTCCCTATAACCCACAAACTCTCAAAGACTAAGCCACATATCCCTACCAACTCCAGCATGTTTTATTAACACACCCACACAGAAGAGGCCTAGATATTAGCTGGAGCAAAAGGCATGTAATTTAAGAAAGCAAATGTTTACTTCAAAGTGTTTCTAAGAATGACACACCACAGAATAATA